TTTGTGTGTCTATTTGAATTCTTAGCTTTTTGAGATTAGGGAAACCCTGTATCTTGGTTTTCCTTGGAGAGGGTTAAACAGAAGAAAGAGGGAAAAAAGAGTCAGCTATGTATTAGGAAGTAATATAGGTGAAGCACCATAACCCCCACTCCACCAGCATCATCAAGAGACCATCCCATGGGCTGAAAATAAACCTGAGTTGGAAGAAATGACCTGAGATCCCAGGTGAAGGAATTCCAAGTTCAGCTTGGGCCTAATATTCTGAAGGGAAGATTCCATTCTCACCTCCTGTTAGAAAAGGAGCACACAGACAGGGGATGCAAGATCTGATGTAGAGAAGATTAGGCTTAGCCTGGGGAAATTCAGTTAAGGGCTATGTCAGAAAGGTTAAATGCCACTCAGTCTTGGTGAAAAATGCATACTTCTGATTGTCTTACTTAGATCTAGAGCCTACTTGGTATCACACATATTTGTGTGAATGTGTATCCTGCTTTATTAGATTATAAACTCCTTGAGGGCAGGGACAATATCATTTTTCACATTTGTATCTTCAGCACTCAGCACGGTACATTGGACATATTAGACATTAAATTTCCCTGGGACATCATTTCTGAATATGAATATTCCCATTTCCCTCATATGTTTGTCTGGACCTGTGATTTCATCAATAGAGGGAATTCCCAGTGTGAAAACTCCTTCCACGCATGCAGATATGCCCCACATCTGTAACTTATAGCATTAGAGTTGCCAGGGGCAATGAGAGATTAAGAAATGTGTCCACAATCACAGAACCAATGTATCAGAAGCAGATATGACTTGAATGGTAAGTCTTCTCTATTCCAAGGCTGGCCCCTCTACCCATGACACCATGCTGCCTCTCTTTCCTTCTACGTAAGTCCTATAAAATATGATTTAAGGAATTCTGTTTTACTACAATCTCGGGTCAAAGTCCAGATTTTGGACTTGCCCTACTTAATCCTGCTCAGGGGAAGTAACACCCGAAAAGATGTCCCCAAAAATTAAGAAGGTGACACATGAAAAGATATCCACAAAAATTACCCAAAGGCAATTAATTTGGGATACTAGAGAGCAATAGGTGTTGTTTCTTGTACTTCACCTTGATCTCTCCCCAAGCATGAGATCTACTGATCAGAGAATGGGGTGACTGCTGAAAAAGAGTGAGATCTAGTCCATGTGATTCATGGCCCCTTATAGTTGGGCCACCCTACAAGGACTTGGATCACTTTCTTGATAACAGAGCTTCCAAATTAATCAAAAATAAACCCAGTATTCAGTGAAGCTGCCCAAGAAGGCTATGGCCTCTAGAACTAGGTGTAAACAGTATTGTTGGTAGTTGCTGTTTTTAGAAAAAGATCTTTGCCAGCTGAATCTTGATCTAGTCATGAAATTATCAAGGATAGAATCAATCCCAGAAATCCAAGGATCTTCAGCCAACATCTTTACCACATAAAGAATTCCCTCAACAACACAAGTGGAAGAACAGTCATCTATCCTCTTAAGAGCTCCAGTGACAGGAGAAGGGGGGGGGGACCCATTACCTCCTCCAGGCAGGCCATTCTACTTTCAGATACCTCTAATTCTAAGGGAAGTTTTCCCTTCAAAGTTTGCCTCTACAGCTTCTGGCCACTGCTCCCAGTTCTGCCTTCTGAGTAAAGAACACACAAATTCAGAAATGAGGCCCTAGAGGATATCTTCTGGAGCCAAACAGAAGTAATCTAATCTCTCTTCCACCACCTCTCGTCTCTTCTCCATGCTACACATCCCCAGTTCCTTAGATGGCATAGATTCAACACTCTTCACCATTCTGGTTTGCCCTCCTTTGCACATTCTCCAGATTATCAAATATAGTGCCCAGAACTGAACACAGTGGTCTGGTGGTATGCTCTGACCAGGGCAGAATATGGTAGGACGATGACATTCTTATTTCTGAATAGTAACACCTCTCTTTAATCAGCTGGAGATCACGTTAGCTTCTTTTGGCCATCATATCACAGTTGGTTCACATTGAGCTTGCAGACCACCGGAACCCTCAGATCTTTTTCAGACAAACTCTAGAATGCTGGTTATAGCTCCTGTGGTAAGCTCATGGGACATCAGCACAAGTCATATATAATGGATGGTTTGTGATCTGAATGCTTAGAAAGAATTCACACCTTACCTAGTCAAAGAACCATTTGAATTTTTATATATCTAAGGATCATAGATTTAGAATTGGAGAGATCCTTAAAGTCATGTAATCCAATCTCTTCCTTTTTCAGGAGAACCTAAGAGCCCAGAGAGGTTGAGTGATTTACCCAAGGTCATATAGGTATCAAGGGGCAAAGTCAGGATTCAAACCCAGACCTTCAGACTTTAAATCCACCGCACTCTACCTGACCACACTGCTCCATGACATTTGGTTTGAAAAACCAACTGTACAAGTACAGAACGAGGCAGAAATAATGGGCTGCAATTTTTTCATGTGAAAATGATCTGGTGGGCAGCTAGATGGCGTAGTGGATAGAGCACTGGCCTTGGAGTCAGGAGGACCTGAGTTCAAATCAGGCCTCAGACCAAACACTTGACACTTACTAGCTGTGTGACCCTGGGCAAGTCACTTAACCCCAATCGCCTTGTTAAAAAAAAATGATCTGGGTGTTTTGTTGTTCAGTCATTTCAGTCATGTCCAACTCTTTGTGACCCCATTTGGGGTTTTCTTGGCAAAGATACTGGAGTGGTTCGCCACTTCCTTCTCCAGTTCATTTTACAGACAAAGAAACTGAGGCAAACAGGGTTAAGTGACTTGTCCAGGGTCACACAGCTAGTGAGTGTCTGAAGCTGGACTTGAACTCAGGAAGAGGAGGCTGCCCGACTCCAGGCCTGGCACTCTATCCACTCTACTAACTAGCCACCTCCAAATTACCAAGGGGATTTTAGCACACTGAAAATTCAACAGGTATCAACAGTGAGCCATGACAGCCCCATAAATGCAAATATGGTCTTAGATTACAATAACGAATGTCCAGCACCCAGAACTGGGGAGGTCGTAGGATCATGGATACAATGATGGGAGGCACGTTAAGACTGTCTAGTCTAACCCCTTCATTCTACAAATAAGGAAACTGAGGCCCAGAAAGGTGAAGCGACTAGCTCAAAGCCACGTGAGTGGGAAACAGAAGCAGGATTTGAACCCAGGCCTTCTACTTCCAGAGTCAGTGCTCTTTCCGCTGTACCTACCACACCACCTCCAAGGGCATAGTCCCACCCCTACTCTGCCCTAATTGGACCACCGCTGAAATACCGTGTCCAATTCTAAATGCCACATTTTAGGGAAGACACTGGTAAGCTGGGAGGACACCTACAAGGGTCACCAGGATGAGTGAAGGCCCTCGAGGTCACTCCATAATGATTGGATTTTTTAAACTAGGGCTATTTCACCAGATTTGGACAGGGGAAGAGGCAGGATGAGAAAGAACATCTGAAAGGTGAAGGGGGCAGGGAGGACACACAGTAGCTTTTTGGCCTTCCTGCTCTGAATCTATAATTCTATGATATGATCACTGCTCTATGGAAAAGATCAGGAGGAGAATTCTAGATTTGCAGCTACAAGGTCACCTCGCCTAACATGTTTATTTTACAAATGAGGAAACTGAGGCCCATGAGGTTAAACGATTTGCACAAGGTCATTTAACAGGAGTAAGCAGTAGAGTTGGGATTCAAACGCAGGTCCTCTGACACCAGATCCAGCCTTCTTTCCACTGTCCCCACCCCTGTTCTCCTTCCCCCCACTAGGACCAATGGGTGAAATTTACAGAGGCAGATTTAGGCCTGATGTAAGGAAAAACTTACTAACACATCTATCCCATGGTGGAATGGGCTGCCTCAGAAAATAATCATAGCTAACAGTGATTAAGCATCTGCCACGTACAAGGCATTGGGCTAAGCGTTTTACAATTATGTCATTTGATCCTCACAACAACCCTGGGTGGTAGGTGCTATTATCATACCCATTTTACAGATGAAGAAGCTGAGGCAACCAGAGGTTAAGAGACTTGCCTAGGATCACCACGGCTAGTAAATGTGCGAGGCTGTATTGAACTGAGGTCTCTCTGACTCCAGGCCCAGAGCTCTGTCCACACCACCACCTAGCTGCCCCCAAAAGCCTTATGAACGGTCACTGGTCAAGTATGTTGTATTCCTCTAACTCTGGGATTACAGGCTCACCTCCACCAATCTGGTGACTTCCAGATTAGACTCTCTCCCTTCCTGCCTCCTCCACAAATGCACTCATCTCCACCTAAACTCCCTCCACCAATGCACTAATTCTTCCAGTGGAAGTTTGGGTGAGCTTCAGGGGCTGAGGCCTTGGTTGTGGTCACAGCCAGGTTTGAACCATAAAAGGATTAGGCTGAGGCCAGCCAGAGCTATCCGAAATCTTGATCTCGGCTGCCTCACTGGTCTCTTCCTTTGCTTCCTGACTCAATGACTACAGGTGAATTACATTTTATATCCTTTTTATTCCTGTTTTGAAGTTTCACTCACTAGTTTTAATTGGATTTTGTGGTTCCCAAGTGCCTACTGCATATTTTTAAAAGAAGGGAAAAAACCTTTGAACCTGCTGGGCCAAGCCAAATTTGGACTTAGCTCCCAATACTTGCCCCTTGTTATCCCTACATTGTGCATCCCTTCCCTCTGTCTGCAGCAGTCCACTAACCTTTAGAATTCAGACTCCCTCCTACTTCACACCAACATGCTAACTCTAACTGATCTTCCTTCTCCTGAAGGAGCAGAAGACAGCAACGGGGTTTGGGGACAAGCTACCCTGTGGGGTCCCATGAGTCCCTCGAGATAACTACGCAGGGCAGGGAGGCATGCATGGCACGTCCTAGGGATGGATGTGAACATCTATCTCCCTGCGCCGCCCACTGAGGCTAGCTGGGGCCTCCAGAGGTTTGCTGCCCCCAGCAGGGACCAGGCCTGAAAAGCAAAGCCCAACTCCATGAGGTCAGTGTTATCCTTTAATGATCACCAGGTGTCAGTCAGGGCCACCACTACAGTTACATCACTAGGTCACAAGGTCAGAGCCTCATCAAGACTTTATACCAATTTTTCTTTTCAACAGAGGCAGGCTTTTATCACTGGAGAAGGGGTTATGAGGATGGGCAGGATGGGCACCTCTCCCCCATTCTCCACCCCCAGGATTGCTGCCCGAAGCAGCTAGACCTGACTAGGGATCAGTCTGTGGGGATCCTGGGAGAGGATTCAGAATCACAAAGGATGGGGACCCACAATCCAGCAGGGCTGATGGGGGAAGCTGGAGAAGGGGGATGGGACCACATCCCTGCTCCCTCGACTTTAGCCTTGAAGAGCAGAATGACAGGATCCAACAGGGCATCCTATGTGAGCTGCATCCTTTGTTCTCCCTGTCTATCCCCCAAGGGAAAACTGAACCCTGATTCTGTATCCACAGTCCAAGCAGGAACAGCTGAGAGGGCCAGCTCAGTACTGCACAGAGAAGGAAAATCCTCCAGGGCTAGTGAGCTCATGGAGAGGGGATCTCCACACGTGGCTTGAGGCCACTGCCATAGTGCTTGAGGGGCCTGTGGCCAGAGCTCCAGGAAGCCCAGACCCTGTTGCTCCCACTAAACTCTGCTTGGAAAATCAGTCACAAAAGAGCATTTCTTCCAGCACCAGGGCCCTCATCCTGTATGAGGCCACCCCGGTGGGGGGAGGTAGGAGGATCCACTTCCCAGGCTTTTGAGGCCATAGCAGGGTGTGTGTCCAGGCCATGGGGGTCAAAGGGAGAGGGCCTGTCAGGACCAGCTCGGTGAGGGGAGGTCACAAGTCAGTGACTTTGTTCTCTACAGCAGCAGCAATCTGTTGGAGCCGGTAACCCAGCTGCATCTTCTGGGCAGTGCCATCTTCCTCCAGGGCAGTGATGATCTGAAAGGCAGAGACTAAATCACACAGAGCCTTAACAGGGGAGAACAGAAGAGGCCTATCACTAAAAGCTTTGAGGCCTCAAAGAAGACATCCCTCAAGAATGGACTGGAGAACACGTAGGCCAAGGAGACATCACCCAGAGCCCTCAGGGAGGAATACAGACCCCAGACCTCTAGGGAATAAAAATGGGAAGAGGTTCAAGAAACCAAAATGTGTTGCTACCACTCCTATTTTTCCCCTGTCAGGTCTTTGTTAGAAAACCCTCTCTGATGCCTTAGCATTCCCACCATCTCTTACCTGGGCACACTCTCCCCAACCCTGTCCATAGACAAGTGCCAAGGACGTGGGAGTGCCACAAATACCCCCCACACACACACATAAGAGGTGATGCTCATTTTCTGTCAGGCAGTGCTTGGGACTCAGACATGGAAACAATGTGTCTGCAGTGACATCTAGGCAGGCAAGGAGACACTCCTAAAACTCTGTAGTGAGAGAAGGCATCTGCCCTACATCTGGCCTAAGGTTTAGGAAACATTCACAAAAGAAATGGGCTTCCCTGAAGTTAAGGCCAGGGGGGTGACACATGGGTGAGAGCCTGTGGGAGAAAATTTCCCAACAAAGGACCACAAGATAGGAAGGCCTACCTAAGGTATCTGATTCCTCGCAGGGAAATTCTATCCCAGTCCCACGGGGAGGGGACGACGAGGATTAGAGAGCAGGATCTGGGAATGAGGGAGTGACCCTTCCAAGGTGAAGTTTCCACATAGTGATGAGAGGAAGGGGGTGGTCAGCAGACCAGCCCAACCCCCAACATTCCCGCCAGGTCCCTAGGAAGCAATGGTCACATCCCCCCCTCTGCTGGGACAAGCACTAGGGTAGTGGGAGTACAGAATGCTAATCAGTGGGGGCCTCTGTGTAGGAGAAGCACTAGGGTAGTGGAAGAAGGGAATGATGGTAGGGGCCTTTGCTGGGAGATATGCTGGGTAGTGGGAGAAGAGAACACTAATCAGTGGGGGCTTCTGTGCATAAGACATAGGAAAGGTTGAGAGTGCCAGAGATCCCACCTAAGTCACATGAGGTCCAGGGCACCAAGAACCTCAGCTCCCTGTCCCCTTCTAGCCCTGCCCCTCAGTGCTTTACTAGGGGTCCCACGGACAAAATCCCTGCATTCCTGAGGATGACATACTCACCTGGTCATAGTATTTGTTGATATACTTGTAGAGTTCATGCAGTGCCACCAGGGCACTGAGGTCCCCAGAATAATTCTAAGAGAAAAGATCAGAACCTCAGGTTATACAGAGACAAGGCCAGAACAGGGAGCAGTTCTAGGGAGGAGGAGACACAATCACACAGGCCTCAAGAGCTTGCCTCATGTTGGCCAGTGACCATAGCAGGTTAGCCAGGTTGGCCTCAAGTGGCCAGAAGCTCCTAGGACAGCCCCCTCTTTGTGAAGGAAGCTAGCTGAGGTAGCCAAGTTCCAGTTTTTGCTGGAGTACAAATGGTTTTCATTTCAGCCCTTGATATTCCCAAAGATCCGCCATAAGTACGATACAGATATGTTTGACCACAAGGGGAAGGGAATAAGCATTTATATAGTGCCTAGATGTGCCAGGCACTGTGCTAAGCACTTTTTACAAATATTATCTCATTGGATCCTCACAACAACCTTGAGAGGTAGATGCTATTATTATCCTTATTTAACAGTTGAGGAAACTGAGGGAGAGTTTAAACAAAGACTTGCCCAAGGTCACACAGCTACTAAGTATCTAAGGCCAGGTTTGAACTCAGGTACTGGCTGCCCCATGACAAGGTGGGGAGCACATGAAGGGAGCCTAAAAAGGACCACTGGCCCGTAAAATGAAAGAGATATGGGGGCCTGGATTAAATGGAAAAAAGTGTTGGACTGGAAGTCAGGAGATATGGGTTCTAGTCCCTGTTCTGTCATGGCTAGGTAACTTTGGGCGAGTCACAGCCTTGTTTTTCTAACTGTGAATGAGATGGGCTAGAACACCCAATGAAAAGCACTGCAAAAAAAATTGAAAAAAAATTAATGAAGTCAGAAGTCCAAAACACACCACTTACTAATTGGTGAACTTGGGCAAGCCACAATCTCACTGAGCCTCAGTTTCCTCGTTTGTAAAAAGGGAGAAATAATCTGCTTTAATGGATGTGAACATTGTCTATGAACCGTCAAAGGCTACACACATGCACACAAGATAAGAAAAGGGAAAGAGAGTTTAGTTCTATGGTGCTTTTTGCCTCTAAAATTCAGCAGACAGCCCAGCAGAGCTCAAGCCAAGCTTCCCTTGTACCATGAGTAGAAGGGAGAACTTTGGAGATCTCTTGTTTTGTAGCTTTCTTCACATATGTGACTTTTAGACCCACACTGACAAGCAGCAAAAATGTTTGCAAACTCAGAAAAGGGCTGCATGCTTGATTCAGGAACAAAAGGAAATGGGAGACACCAGGAGACTATATTCCGTTTTTCAGTAGACCCTGAAGGAAGGAAACCCCAAATACAAACAACTAGTAGTAGAATGGAGCAGGTGGGCCAATTCCCAAAGTCCATAAAAAAGAAGGAAGTGTTCCTTGGAGATGTGCCTGGAGGTCCATACCAGCAAAGGGCTAGAGCCCTACCACCAGAGCAGGGATGAACAAAACCCACCCCCCACAAGAGTCAAACATTTTCCTTACCCTGGACAGCTCAGCTAGGGCTGAATTCATCTCCTGATCGCTGGCTGAGATGGTTTGCCTAATGTCTGCATAATACCTGCCCAGAGACCACAGCCACAGAGGTGATTTAGTGAACTGGCCACCCCTAGGGTCCCTCTTTGTTCCATTCCCTACCCCTATACTTCCAGTGTCTGCTCTCCAGAATGTTTCTCCACTTCATGCCCATCCCTACCCTCCCAACTGGTAGGTTCACTTCCAGTTCCTCTAACCCCCAATCCTCATAGTGGTACCTCTCCACCATCTGCTTGTAGCGTGGGATGTCTCGGGCATAGAGCAGCTTGTTGATGGGTGAGTCCTGGACGTCAGGAGCAAAGAAAATAAAAACGAGTTACTCTTCTCTTCATTGCTGAATGCCAATGGAAAGGGTCATGTCCAGCACCCATTCTCTCCTTGCCCTCCTGCAATCTGACTCTTGTCCTATTTTTCACTCAAATTGCTTTACCTGAAGCTACTGATGACCTTCTCCTATACACATCCAATAATCTCTTCTCAGCCTCCAATTCATCCCCACTACATTTGGACACTTCAGGAAGATGGCTAGTTCAGAGCCCCAGCCTGTGACCTTGGAATAGGAGTTTGGTAACCAAGATTCCCCCTTCTGATGTTTTCCTCCCTTCAATAATTTCACTTGGGAGAAAGAGGCGAGCACAGCCCAACAGGCAAGCATGACTGAAGCAATCCCAGTCAAACATGGTACCAACTTTGCCCTGTGTTTGATGACTTCCTAACACCTACATCCCAGTGCAACAGGAGCCAACACACAGGCTGAACCCAATGACCAACGCACACGGTCTGCTTCTGCCCTGCTTCCGCCCTGCTCAAACTGGGACACTCATTTCATAGTCTATCTGACCCCTTCAAGCTCTAGTAATCAGGCCTTGCACCTTAAGTAATTTTCCTTCAGTTACTGGCACGCTTGTCCCTTCATTCATTCATAAATTCATTCAACCAACAGTCCTGAGAGCCTATGACCACGAAAGGCAGCCTAGTAAGAGGAGAAAAGCTCTGGGCTTGGAGTTAGCAGAAACCTGGGCTAAAATTCTTCCTCCCACACGAGAGGATGTGACCGTGGAGAAGCCACTTCATCTGCTTCTCAGCTTCTCTACTTGCAAAATGGGCCCAACAATTACCACCTGTAACATCATCACAGGGCCAGTGTGAGGAGAGAATAAGCTCTGCAAACCTCAGAGCACTATAAGAGCATCGGTTATTATTTTATTTGGTTTCTCTCCCCAGGAGGCTCCCCCATCACACTCCCACTCCAACTCTCCAGCCTGGTTCTGAGGCTGCCATCCCAAGAATGGGGCAAGCTTCCAGCCATAGTCCTCTCTGTTCCTTTCTGATCTTCTTCTGGGCTAAGGAGTCATTTGACCCCCATATTCTTAAGGTGTTGGTTTATTTAATTCAATTAATAAAACATTTATTGAGTACCTACAATGTGCAAAACACTAGAAATACAATGATGGAAACTTATGTAATCCCTGCCCTTAAGTAAAATAGGGGGAGGAGTGTTTCCAAGAGATATGTACATAAATAACCATATTCTAATTTTGATTACAATGCAAAGGCCCAATAAGTATAATGGATCACATCTGGTGGAGACAAAGGGTGGCAGATTAGAGAAAGCTTTCATGAGTGAAAGAAAAAAAAGCATTTATTAATGTTTATCATTATATGCCATATGCTATGCTAAGCACTGCGAATGGAGATACAAATAGAAATGCAATACAGTTCCTGCCCTCAGGGAGGTCGCATTCTAACCAGAGAAGACAACATATAAAAACTAATTCAGCTGTCAGCCAGATGGAAGGACCCCAGGTCCTAAGGACTCAGGTGTAGGTAAGATGGCAAGGTCTCAGAGGTCATTAGGTTGCACTAGCAGGTCAAGACTGTAATGCCTGGGGCCGTAGAGAACATCATGGAAGGATAGATGGCAAGGCCCAGTAAGACCTCCATTGTCTGGGATGAATTGTAGTTGCTAACTCCATGCTCATCCTGGTAGCCATGCCCAGTAGGTAAGGGGGTAGGGTAGGGATAGTAGTAAGGTCCTGCCTACCATCACTGGGAAGTGGGGAGAGGGTTTGAGGACTAGAATAGAGTGGGAACTTTGGGTTCCCTCTAGGAGGGAAAGGTCAGAAAATAAAAGGTCAGCAGAAAGACCAGAGAGGCAAGAGAAAAGAAGACAGTGGCAAGGGAGGTGGGGGGAAGGTGTCTGATACTGCCAGATAGGATCTAGGCCAGATAGGAAATCAGTTTGGGGTGGAGGAAAGCAAGGCTATTTATTCCTCATGGAGATGACATCTGAGCTGAGCCTTGAGGCCAAAGAAGGATTTCAAGGGCAGAGGATGGAAGGAAAGTCCATTCTAGGCACAGTACATGGAGGGGAGATAGAAGAAGGTAGAACAAGATCAAGTAATAGCTAAGGAGGCCATTGATAAAAAAAGAAAGTCCCCATATACCTCAAAATATTTATAGCAGCACTGTTTGTGATAACAAAGAATTAGAAAAAAAAAAGTAGATGCCCTAGATTGGGAAATGGCTAAACAAAGTGTGATACAAGATACAGAATATTAATGTGCTATAAACAAATGTGATGAATACAGAGAAGCATGGAAAGATCTGCATGAGCTGATACAGAATGAAGGAAGCAGAGCCAAGAAAACAATATGCACAATGACTACAACAAAGTAAATGGAAAGACCACAAACGATCCAAAATAAATATTGCAAAATTATAAAAAACAAGCATGTCTTGAAATAAGAAATATGAGAAAAATATCTTCTTCTCTTTGCAGAAGTGGGGGATCCACAAACATTACACACTGTATATGTTTTCAGACTCTTTTTGATGTGTCGATCAGTTATGTTGATTTTTGCTTTTTTTTCTTTATAAAAGTACTATTTGTCATATAGGATGACTCAAGGAGGAGGAAGAGGAGGAGGAACACCATAGGGAACTAGGGTGATGGAAAAAAACAAAAAATTAAAATTAAAACTTTTTTTAAAATATCAAATAACCGTTTTAATTTGATTTAACTCGAATATAAAGTACATGAAGAGGAAGGAATTCAGGTAGTGATGTAAAGAAGATTAGAGAAAGAAGAGCCTGGTGACAGAGACCTGTTAGGAGACTAATATAATAATCTGTTCAATAAGTAAAAAGGCCTAAATGAGGATGGTGACAATGGGAGAAGAAAGAAGGAGATGAATGAGATATATAACAGAGAATCAACATGACTACTTGAAAATTGATTCAAAGTGATGAACGAGGGATCGGGAAAAGTCAAAGACGACCCTCACGTTTTGAGTCTGGACAACTGAGAGAACTGTGGTGCCATCATCAAAAACAGAAGATCTAGGAGAAGAGCCAGGTCTAGGAGGAAGAGAAATACAACTTAAGACATAAAGAGTTTGAAGTCCCAGTGAGGCATCAAGGGAGGGAAGTCATTAGGCAAGCTGGAAATGTGAGACTGGAGCTCCCAGGAAAGGGGGAAGACAAAAATACTAACTTGGGAGTCTAGAAGGTGATGATGTTAATAATAGCTAGCATTTGTATAGCACCTACTATGTGCCAGGGCAGCTAGGTGGTACAGTAGATAGAGCACCAGCCCTGGGAGTCAGGAAGACTCATCTTCCTGAATTCAATTCTGGTCTCAGACACTTACTAACTGTGTGACCCTGGGCAAGTCACTTAATCCTATTTGCTTCAGTTTCCTCCTCTGTAAAAGGAGCTGGAGAAGGAAATGGCAAACCACCCCAGTATCTTTGCCAAGAAAACCCCAAATGGGATCATGAAAAGTCAGACACTACTGAAAACAACTGAACAACAACTATGTGCCAGGAGCTTTGCAAATATTACCATATTTGATCCTCACAGCAACCCTAGAACATAGGTGCTATTACCATTTCCATTTTACAGTTAAAGAAACTGAGGCAAACAGAGGTCAAGTGACTTGCCTAAGGTCACACAGCTAGTATGTGTCTAAGTCCATATTTGAATTCAAGTCTTCCTGACTCCAGACCCAAAGCTCCATCCATTGTGCCACCTACCTGCCTCGAAGGTGATATTAAATCTACTCTAAAGCCTCAGTTTTCAGCATGACAACAATGAAAGGATAAGGAGTCCTGGGATCCAAGAACTAACAGTACATAATTGAAATGATTGACTAGAATAGGAACAATGAAATAGGAGAACAGAGATAATCCAAGGCACTTACAGGGCAAGAGAAGGGAAAAGAACAGATTGGGGAAGGATTGTGGGGTGGGAGAGATGGAGGGACAGGAGATTATGGTCAGAGAGAATTCCAAATAATGGTAAATTCACATTCATCTAGAGCTTTAAGCTTCATAGATTGCTCCTCAGAACAATCCTGTGAGGTGGGAAGAGAATTCAATATCATCCACATTTTACAGATGAGGAAACTGAGGCTCAGAGAAGTTAACTGACTTGCTAGTGTGGTGACCCGGCTAGCAATTGTCAGCATCAAGATCACATGTGTCCTGAGTAGGAGCACAATGTCATTCTACCTCTAAGAATAGTGGAGAATACAGGGCGACCTCCTTAGTGATAACAGAACACACGGACGCCGAGGGCTCCGGAAATGAGACCAAGATGTCAGAAAGGTCACCGAGGTGAATATTAGAAATCACAAGCGGTGATCAGAAATAGAACATGGAAACTCTTTATAGTCTCCAACATGTATTTATGAGACAACAACAAAAGGGATGTCTGGCCCTGTTTCATCACACTTCCTCTCCCTGTTTGGCTTCCAGGATATTTTACTCTCCTGGCATTCTTCCTGAATTTCTGGGAGTTCTTTCTCAATTTCCTTCACTGTCTCCTCATCTTCCTCCAGCTCTTTTAACCCTGGGAATTCCCCATGGCTTATTCTTGGCCTTTAGCTCTTCTCCCTCATTGATTCATCCCTAAGGCAGCCACCACCGTCAGACTTTGAACCCTGGGAATTCCCCAAAGCTTATTTCTCGGTCTTTACCTCTTCTCTCTTCTTAATTCCTCCCTGAGAGAGCTCAGCCACAGTCAGAGTTTGAACTAACACACACAGACTGGTTCCCAAACCTGTGACCTTGCACATGCTAAGAATATCTCATAAGATGAAAGGCTGAAATGGTCAGAAATTTACAGTTGGAAAAGGTCTTTGGCAATAACACTACCAGGCCTTTGTCCCAAAAGAGATCAAAGAAAGAGGAAACGGCCCCATATGGACAAAAATATTTACAGCAGCTCTTTTAGTGGTACAAAGAACTGGAAACTGGGGGTGGAGTGGCCATCAACTGGGGAACAGCTGAACGGATTATAGTACGTGGATATGATGGAATATCCTTTTGCTATAAGAAATTGCAAAATGAACTGTTTCAAAGGAAGCTAGAAAGACCTCTATGAACCAAGGCAGAATGAAGTGAGCAGAACTAGGAGAATAATTTATACAAAGACAATAACATTATAGAGAAAAACAACTTTGAAAGTCTATAGAATACTGCTCAGGGCAATGAAAAACCATGATTCCAGAGGAATGAAGATGAAGCATGCTACTACTCTTTACAGAGAGATGTTGATCTCAAAATGCAGAATAAGGTACACATTGTTGGACATGGCAAAAGTGGGAATTTTTTTTTCTGGGTTATGAATATTTATTATGAGGGTTTTCTTTTTATTTCTTTGTCTGTTTTTCACTTGGGGTGGGAAGGAGTGGAAGGGGGGAGGGAGGAGAGAGAGATAGAGACAGAGAGACAGAGACAGAGAGGGAGAAAGGGAGGAAAGGAGCAAAGAAAGAAGGAAGGAAAGAAGGAAGGAAGAGACATCTTTGATTTCTCTCCATTTCAGTCTCTTAACTCTGGGCAATTCAGTCTCCTTACCCATCTCTGCACAATCTACTCTTTCCCAGCATAGTACCTTTGCTTACCTACTCCCATCTCCAAAAAAACAAAACCATCTCTTCCTCCAAGAAGTGACTCCAAGTTCACTTCCCCTCAAGGAGCCTTCCTTTTGTCTGCGTTTTCACATGGCGTTCTATACCAGACTACCCAACATCTTATTTCACTGCTTTAGAATTGCCCTTCATTTGGTTCCTGTGTCCCGTGAATACTCCATACCTCACTGTGGCATTGAGATGAGCTTAGGTTATTGAAAGCATGCCAGTAGAAGACATCCCCAGCAAGCTTTACCCAAGCTGGGACTACTTCCAGTAGGAGCCCGTGGCTGCTGCCCAAAGAGCAATCTAGGTTAAGTGCATAAAGACTCAACCAGCAGATTGGCCACTAAGTGATGAATTTTTTGGCCATGGTGACCCGTGAAATTTAAGATTCCCAGAGACAATGGCTGAATGGTGAAAGGGGAGAGGAGAGGGGACTAAGAATCAGGGTTTTTTCTTTAGGCTGTCAACAAACATGACCAAATATTTGTCCATAGACACTGTCAGTACTTTAATCGTGAGATTCTCATCCAGAGACCAATGAGCTGGATACACTGTTGTAGGAACCAAACCACAGCCATGTTGACATTCTCCCTAGAAACAAAACTAAGAGAAAGAACTTGCTGCCAATGAAAGGATGGCTCGTGGTTTCTCCTTAAAGAAACAACTAAAGGAATTAGTGGAGTTAGTTTCACCAGGTGCCCAAATATCACTTCATGAAATCCTTGCTCATCTCACCTTGAAATGCTTATGATGAGCATCAGCAAAAAGGCCACCATGAAGATAATTACAGGTTGCGCCAACCTTGGTTGTAAAGGATAAACAAGCAGAGAAATTCCAGGAAGAACTTTGCAAGATCCTCTGAATTAAATCAACATATGCCCTGCTATTAGGTAACTTCAGTGTGAAGGCAGAAACAGGGAGGACAGAAGAAATATTGGAAAATATGGTTTGGGATTAAGAAATGAAAAAGGCCAAAAGCTTATGGATTACTCAAAAGCCTCAAGCCTACATATCACAAACACTTTATTTAAGAAGTGTGTCAGAAGGGCCTGGTCATGTTAAGCACTGAACAATATCTCAAAACTTTCAATTTACTATATAATAACAAGAGCTAACATTTATAAAGCACTTCAAAGTTTGCAAAGACCTTTACCTATGTTGTCTAATTTGTATCTTAATGGACAGGGAAATAACAGGTTACCTATAATGGGAATCAGAGCTGAATCAGCTCACTGAACAAAGTCAGATCATTAACAAGTTAGAACAAAGGTCAAAATCATCACTAGATTAGAAGAAAGGATACAGATAAGAAAATACAGTGTGCACTTACAGCAGTTGCAACCTGACCTATTTGGTTCTCAAAAACGGGAAATGGATGAAAGACACTGACTCTGACTAGCACAATTTCTTAGAAAGGCTTAATGAATGTAAAAGAGTCACAATAACGATGCGGCCAAAAGGCCCACAGATTGCCTTAATCAAGTGAATACTTGATCTCAATGCCAAGTAGATACGTGACACCAAAAACAATTCCAGTTTAGAAAGCAAGCCCAACTATAACACATGAAACACATGAAAAAGGATGACAGAAGATCACAAGTAGTATTGGCCCCACAAAAGAGTGAAAAGCAAGGAAAGGAATATGCGATTAGTATGAGAATTAACTAAACCAGATCATCCTGTGACCATTTATAGATGAAACTAGAAGGGTAATAAATAGTCATATATTGGAACAGATCTGTTCACAATTCTTTGGAGTCTATTCTCATCATTGATGGATGGAACCACCACATTTGGACTCTACCACCTTGGTATCTGATGTTCTATAATGAAGAAGTAGAAATATCACTTAAAAAGATGAATTCAGGAAGAGCAGCTGGTCCTAAACAACTACATATGAAAAAAGTGCATGCTGAATTTGTCACAATATTTAGTCACTTATACATCCATTTTCAAGCTATCTCAAAGTGGGAAAGAATTCAAAAGAATGAGAAAAGATTATGGACAGTAGTATCACACCAAAGGAAAGGGGACCAAGAAGACATTAGCAACTGATGATCCACATTTGTACTTTCCCATCTTTATGAAAATTGAGTATGTTCATATCATGGTTATTTGAGATGTAAATATGAGAAGGAAACAGGTTTCCACAGATGATTTTCTACTTCAGACTCTATCTTTAAATAAGGTACTATGTATTTGGTATACATTGTTCTGGATTATGATCTGCCATTGAGTGGGCAGCCCATCTTTACTGATGCCTTGGACAAGCAGTGAAGATGGGTGATGAACTGGGCTCAAAATCAAACAGGCTAAGGAGAGCAAACACTATAAAGACAGTTGTCCTCTTTATGATCCCAAAAGTCTCCCTAAAGATGCTTTTTTATCAGCAATATTTCCTCAGTGATGCTATAAGGTTTTAAACATAGAACAACATGACATCAGAAGAATCACAACTGCAGGTGACCTAAAGCTCAATGGAAAGATGTACAGGTGGTCTAAGTAGGCAATAGCATATTACCAAGGATATATGGGAGGTGGCATAAAAGGCATCACCAAGGACAGATATGGCCAGAAAAGAAAGGAAGTGGGCTTGTCATGTAGTCCACAAAATGGACAATGAGACCCAAGGAAGGCCCCCTGCGTGTCACACAGATACTCGATGATTTATAGAAAAACATGGAGAAGATGAAACATATGAGCACTTAATGGTCAGTTCTGCTGTTTGCTCCCTTTGTGAACTGGGACAAGTCATCTAACTTCTCTCCAGGCTTCAGTTTCCTCATCTGGAAAATTAGAGAATTAGAACGGATGATCCCTAATGTCTCATCTCTAAGTCTCTAAATCCTATGATCTCCATTTTTTATTTGAAAGATATGATCTGGGCAGTTTGGTGGCACAGTGGATAGAGCTCTGGCCTTAGGAGTCAGAAGGACCTGAGTTCAAATCTGGCCTCAGACACTTGACACTTACTAGCTCTGTGACCCTGGCAAGTCACTTAATCCTGACTGACTCACCAAAAAAAAAAAAAAGATATGATCAACATAGTTCTACCCCATGCCAAACCCTCATTTCCCCCTCCCCACCCACACCACATACTTCATTCCTTCCCATAACACATTTTTTTTAGAGAGGAGGGGGGCATGCCAGTTGGAGCTTGTGATTTTTATCAGTATAGAGAACTCCCAGTGTGAAAATTCCCTAAACCTATTCATATGAGGAACTCCTTGGTAACAAAGCCTGAAAGAGTTCCTTTGAACAATATGAGATTAAGTTATTTCCCAAGTTCACACAGCTAATACATATCAGAGACAGGATTTGAACCTAGGTCTTTCTGACTCTAAGGCCTTTATCTATATGCCATACTACCTCCTTTCTTTTTCTTATTACCAACCCCAAATCCATGCTACTTCTCCATTCTTTATGACACCTCTTCCTCTGATGCCATACCTCCTTCTCCCACACACCAACTCCACCCCACCCACCCCAAGATTCTCTCTCTCTCTCCATCTACCCCAGTGCTACAACAGCCTGACGTGTACCCCTGCCTCATACCTCTGATCCCCATACCTTGGGCCACCCTCAGCCCTTGGCTCACCCGACCCAACTTGTGGTCTGCAAGAGTGCAGGCATCCATGAAGGTTTGGGCGATGACTAAGAGCACAGCATCCATGTTGTCTGACGTCTGGACATCAAAAACAAACTGAGGGTTCTTGATGATGTTGATCCAGAACCTCAGGGGCAGACTGTGGACAGGGCAGACCAAGGAAGGGTGTGAGAATGGCAAGTTGTGGGTAGCTGGGCCCCACCCTGCAGGGCCTCCACGTCCTCTCCCTCCCAAGCACAGGCCAAAGCCTCTAGCCAGAACTTCTTCTCACTGTAACGGATGGCGTGGAATGATGCTCGTCCACCACATAGCCCCCCATAACCTCAGGGAAAGACCTGCAGACAGGGCAGGCAAGAAGACAGTCATGGCCACTACCCCTTCAGTCCAGCTGGCACCCTGACCTGTTGGTCTTCCAGATGTGGATGGTGTCCTGGTCTGAGATACCATGCTGCTGGGCCTGATCATCCAGCAAGTCAAAGAAATACTTGATGGCCAGGGGCACTGGGCGGCTGGTACTCAGGATCACCTGGAATAAGTCATCCACGAACGTCTGCAGGGTGCCCTGCAAAGGGATCATGGGAGAAGAAAAGAACAAATCCTGGACTGACACTGAGACCTCAGCAAGTATCCAGCCTGGGGCTGAAGACAGCAATTCTACCCAACCTGTGCCCAATCCACTTCCCGGACAGCTCTAATTAGTAGAAAGTTTTCCCTTGCATAAACAGAAATCTGCTTTGCTCCTTAACAACTTTCATCCAGTACTTCCAGTTCTGGCCAAGCAAAACAAATCTAATCCTTTTAAATGACACCCCTCTGTATCTTTGAAGAAAGTTATCATGTCATCCAAGTCCTCCCTTCTCCAGGCGAAAACTCCCTGGTGCTTCCAGCTGATCCTCCGAAGGCCTAATCTGCAGTCCTCCCACCTTTCCATTTGCCCTCCTCGGGACTCACTTTGGTCTGTCAATGGCCTCCCTTAAAACGTGACACCCAGAACCGAACACAATACTCTGCATGTGGTCTGATCAGGGTAAAGAACCATGCAGGAGTGTGCTGCTAAATATTTAACAACCAAGTGTGGGTGGAGGGAGAGGAATGTATGCTTGGCACACTTTTAAGTTTAATCTGCATTATTAATATTTTCTCCACCACTATCTTAAGTCTAGGCCACCAACAAAACAACAAACCAAGCCCTGATTTGTAGCATTTGTTGATTACTAAGGCATAAATGCTCACACTGAAATTTAACAATCAGCTCTCGTGAGCCAGTACAAGGCAGCTCCAGCACACCACTGAAAAATGAGACAACTGGCTCCCTTGTCTGGGACACTTCAATAACCTGTGATTTTGCCAGTGTAGGGTCCCTCCACTGATTCAGATCACGACCCCCCTACCCCCACCCCAGATGGTCTTTAAGAACTGCGGGAGCCAAAAAATTCATCCCTTATAAGACTTATTAACTGGGCTGGCTTTCAGACAACAGATACATATGCTATCACAGAGATCACATTCAAGGCTTTCAACCTTGACTGGCTCTCCCAAAGCTTAGACTTGACTGACACAGCCTTCAAGAACCTAGGGTTCCCTTCAGTCCATAACAAGGCACCAGAGTGGACTTTATTTAGCACTGTGTCCCCTTACCCTTGTCCTACACGATCTCTGACCAAGCCCTAGACTTGCCCATGCCATCTGTCCCTGAATGACACCCCCATTGTAACTGCTACCTTCATGGACAACAGACGAGTCAAGTAGATCTCAGGGATGGCTTTGGCTCTTTCCCGATCTCCACCCCGAAGGCTTCCCCTCCTTTGCCTGGGTGGTTCTGGCTCCTCGCTCGGCTTCACTAGATGCCAGGGACGGATGCCTCCCTCATCCATGTCTTCCAACATTGGGGTTTCTGCATTAAGGACCCCATATCTGGATCAGCCTATGGTCCCACAAGGGATCCTCCCAACCTCCATGGTGAAGTGACCTCCATGTGGGCAGGGGTTAAAGGGAGGTGATATCTAGGATCGTACTTGGAGATCTCCTTGGGACAAGGAAGGATTTGGGGAGATGCCCATGCTACCTAGTGTAAGAAGAAGAGAGGTACTCACTCTCTCCAGGGACATAATCCTGGTTTTCCCGGGGAATGTGCTTGCTGAAGCGGGGAACCAGGGCCACAGTTGCTCCATCAGGAACCTGTTGACAGGGCTAGTGATTCCTCTACCCCCCAATAACCCCAGCACCCTCCCCTCCAGCCTTCACCTTTGTTCTCTAACCCCTGTCCCTTCCCACCTTATAATGCTGCAAGGTGTTCAGCCGCCTCCATGCGCCTTGGACCACAGAGGTGACATCCTCATCAGACAGGATGAGGTGACCAGCCACCCCTGACCGCCATTCTACGAGGGGAGTGGAAAGGGACAGGCTTCAGTCTCCCCCTGTCATCAGACAGAGCTCCCATGCTGCTGTCCAGGGAGAAGGGCTCAGGTCAGCTTGAGCCTCAAACTCATCATCTAGGGATGAGGGCAACTTTGGGGGAGACCCTGGTCCCTACAGCAGGAGAGCAATGCAATCCAATTCATCCCTCCCTGTCCCTGCATCCACCCCTCCAGCCACCTCACCAACATCCAGGGCACCAGGGTCTGGCCGCTGGGCAAGGGGCACTCCCTTGTATAGCTGGTCCAGAATCTTCTCCTTGGCCTGGGAAATGGTGTCACAGTCTAGGACCTTCACAGGGACGCCTGGAGACTCTGCCAACCCGACCCCTGGCACTGTTACTGCATTTAATGTCTGTACAGGACATATAAAGGGGTGATCACGAGCAGTCCCTTCACAAAGGCTCCAGGGGACTGGCACGGGGTGATAAAGAAGAAACAGGAGTCAGTCTGTGAAGGGATCGACATGACCAGCTGACTGCATCGCTAACAGAGGGTCCACCAGGACCACTGGCTCTCCTCAGCAAGAGAGGGGCCTTCCTGCCACCACCACCCCCAGCTCCTGGGGGCTGACCATTTCCCTTACCTAGTCTGTGTACAATTGGCTACTAAGTTTCACTAAGAAAAGGATGGGGGATTTCCATAATGAATCTTTTGTTAGGAAAGAAACTACAGGAAGAGAAAAGAAACACCTGAACCCCCAGAAAAGCACAGGTTTCCACAGTGTGGTGCTAGATTTGGATCAGAAGGCCTGGGTCCACACCCTGGCTTAGATGTTCACTTTGGAGCAGATCTCTAAGGTCCCCTTCCAGCTCAAAATCTATGTTCCTAGAATGCCACCATGAGCATCTAGCCATCATGGGATGGCCAGGTACTGCTCCCCTTCCCTCCTGTCTAAGCTAGGCACCAGAGAATGGAGATTAAGCAAAGATCCAGACTTCTTGCTGGAGAGGCGGTGGGCTAGCACTGCTGCCCAGGCTGATGGATCCCCAGTCTCTCCCCTATGATTCCAGGCTCCTCCCTAAGCTGTCTGACCCCTCTGCCCGGAAGTAGCCTAGGTGGAACCTTTGATTTGCTGCTACTCTGACCCTCACAGGTCCTCGTTTTCCCCAACTATAAAAAGTGCTTAGCAAATCCTCACTCCCTCCTTTTTTTCCTTTCTTTTCTTCTTTCCTTTACTTCCTTCCTTCTTTCCTTTCTTTCTCTAACTTCCTTTCTTCCTTGCTTCCTTCCTCCCTTCCCTCCCTGGCTCCTCAGTGAGGAAGAATCTTTCTGTTCTTGTTCCACAGATTCCTCTCCCAAGGCTTCCAATCACTTTGCTTTGACATCACAAGCCCCTGATCTTCAATTTCCTATAAGTTCCTGTGACTCTAGTCCAGGGAATCCTTCCCTTTTCCTAGAAAGACGCCTGCAATCTCTTTGCCTAAAGTTCATGCACCAGCTCTCTCAATTATGGCTTGACATTAGAAGCTGGGTCCAGTGTCTAAACCACGTAACCTCGAGGGCAGAAACATTTTACCAGGATCCTGTCTACGGTATGTCGGCTCCCTCCACTGGCCAGAAACAGACCCCTTATCCCTTGTGTTAAAGGTCTTACTCCCCTTTTGACCCACCTACCAAATTTCTTGCCTGATGGACAGCTAGATAGCACAGTGAATAGTGCACTAGGCCTCAAGTCAGAAAGACGAGTTCAAACCCTGCCTCAGACACTTACTGGCTTTGTGACCCTGGACAAGTCACTTAACCTCTGTCTGCCTCAGTTTCCTCAACTGTAAAACAGGGATAATAACAGGGCCTACTTCTCTAGATTACCATGAGGATCAAATGAAATGTTTGTAAAGCACTTAGCACGGTGCCTGGTATACAGAAGGTGTTACAGAAATTATTATGCATTCCCTCTCCCCTTCCCCTTTTCTTCTCTTGCTCTCAGCTCACAGGCAAAGCAGGACTGACTAACATTCTGAGCCCAGTGACTATTAAGGCCTTTCTTAGTTCAAGGTCCCAGCTCTGCCCATTTCCCCGGTTTCCTTCTGATGACTCACTTGAGTGCCCCTCACAAGAGAAAAGGGCCTTCCAGAATCCTATGATTACAGCTTCACAACATCCCAATCATCTCCCAAAAGCAGATAAAATGAGAACTAGGCAGGGCATTCCCTCACCAGAGGACGGTATTCCAGGTCCTCTCGAAGCAGACGGTTGTCATTCAATGTGTACTTGGCCTTGCCAGTCACACTGTCCACAGGCCCCTTGTCCACCTGGTGCTTGATCCCTCGGAAGAGCATGTAGAGGGGTTCACCCACCGAGTCCTATCGGAGGAGATCAGAATGTTACGCAGGCTAATGGGAGTGGTACATGAAGACACAGAGGGCAGAGGGGACTTCACTGCAATGGCAGTGTCCACATAGAAGGAGCAGCCACCTTTCACAGAGACTAAATGAGTACCCTTGCTGGGGACACAGAAAAATCCAGCTCCAAAGCCTAGTTTAAGGTACACTGCCCCTTTTTTTCCTGCATTTTTCCTGTCCTATGTGAAATGGGCCTACACTATCATAAAATCATAGGCTTAGAGCTGAAAATGATCTAAAAGACCATCTAATCCAAACTGTTTCATTTTTTAAAGAAGGAAATTGAGGTCCAAAGATGTCATAGAGGTCATGACAATGGCAAGATTTGAACCATGTTCTCCATCTCCAAACCCAGCGCTCTTACCAATGTGGAGTTTCTCATCTAATCAACTACAAGCTTGCTCTGACCAAGGGAGAAGGAAGAAGGGAAGCAGGGGACCTGGGATGCTGGTCACCAACAAGGAGATATGGGGGAGCATGTGTCTATAATCACAAAGATGAAGACGACCTTCACAATTCATCCCTTCTTAATCCTTCTGGGCCATACACCAAGCTCATTTTAAAAACCAAACCCAACTCTCTACATCATTTTGTCTGATATTCTAACTCAAACTTCAGGGAATGGGGCAGGAGAGAAGCCCTTGATACATCACCTTGGTAACAGGCCCTCAATAATCACAGGGTTAATCACAGACCCTCAGATCGCAGGGTTAGTCTGAAGACACTATGTCTTACACATAAGATGTGCTTAATCAATGTTGATTGAATTTAGCTGAATGGCCCAGGCCAAGAAACAAAGGATTCTCACCCGTACAAAGGTGTAGAGGCAAATAGACATCCAATTGGTGAGCAACTTTTCCACCACAGTCTCAGTCCTGGATGAAAGCAAAAAGGAAAGAGGCTTGATGTGACTAGAATGCAGCCTTTGGGGTAGGGAAGGGAACACCTGCACAGGACGGGTGCCTTGGGAGGAGGAAGTAGGGTAACACGGTCAACACAATCAACACCAAAGGCCTCAAGGTCACCTGTGCAGACCCAAGCAGCACACATAGTGGTCTGGTCTTTGTGAAATTTACAGCAAACTCTTGTCAAAACAGATTGTTCTAAGGACAAAAACTCAAAAACTAAAGAGTTGAAAAGAGAGCTTAATGTCTGAAAAATAAACTCTACATACATCAATGAGAATATCAGAGTTCATCACTTTGACTTCCTGTAAGAGGAGACCTGAAAGCTACTGGATGTCATACATGACAGCCCCCTCCCATTACATTCCCTGCAGTCCTGCCACACACACATGCCAGTCCAACAGCCTTTCACACATTCTAGGTTATTGTGGTTGTTTTATGACAGTATCAAACAGAAGCTGGGTTCAGTAATCAGGGTTCAATGGACTCCAAGAACTACTGCCCTTTCTTGACCCTCCATCCCCTAATCCTTCCTACCTCCTGCAAGGCACTAATCCATCAGTCCCACCCTCCCCCTGGCATCTTTAATATTTCCCTTTCCCCAGGGCCTTCCCATCTGCTTACAAAAATGCCCAAGGGCCTTCTAAAAGAAAAGGCCTTCCTTTTATCCTTCTACCCTATTCAATCCCTCTCCCATCTTCCTCCCACTGAGGACTTGGACAAGTCATTTCATCCCTAAGGGCCTTGGTTCCCTCCAGATGGAAATGAATGAGTGGGACAAGATGACCTCTAAGGCCTCTCCTTTGGAGCTTGATCCTATGACCTTGCAAACATTTCCTTCCCATCCTCATGACCTTATCCCTCCTTAGCCCCTTGCAAGGAGGATTCTTCTGCCCCATCACTTTGCGAAAATTGCTCTCTCTGAGGTCACCAATGACCTCCTAACAGACAAACACAATTTTCCCTCAGTTTTCCCATATACACACCACTACTCCTTATGGCAGGGAGCTGAGGAGCCCCAGCTGTTACTATTATCTGAATCAGTTCCCATCAGGAACCCTGCCAGCCCTCAGGGTTCTTAAAGCTAAAAAATGCTAATATTAAGAAGCCTCTTAAAAGTCCAGGGCATGTAGGCATAAGTGAGATCACCAGATACCCACTGCCTCTTCTTACCTTTTGTTCCTCCCTCTCTATCCCTATAGCAACATGTTTGCCCCTCTTATTGTTCTGCCTTTCAATGCCCTTATAGTAAATGGCACGATCCTGCACACAAACCTCATTGACTCATGTCCAACTTTTGGAAGCCACTTGTCCTTGTCATCAGGCTTAACTCCTGAAACCCACTCATCAGTCTTCCCAATCCCCAGCTCCTGCCTCATCTCTGACCCCAGCCTCCACCCCCACTTCCCTTCCCAACACAGACCCTTTACAGTCCCAGATCTCCATCAGAAACACTGACCTCCGTAGCATGAGCTTAGGGTTCTTGGCCACATACTGGGCCACCAGGTCACTGAGTAATGTCCGGAGAATGTCAGTGAAATACTCCAGCTTCCCGTGCAATGCCACAGTGAGTAGGGACGCCACGTAAGCACGGTCTCGGGGTGAGAAAGTGCGCTGACTCTCCAGTGTGTGGATGAACTGGGGATCAAGGAAAGGAATCGTCAAGTCACACAAGTCCGGAGTTGGAAGGGCCCCAAGAGGTCACCTGGTCCAACTCATACCTGAGCAGGAATTCTACAATATTTTTAAGTAGCTGTGACCTCTGCTGGAAAATCATCACTGATGAGAAACCATCACCTTCTGAAGCAGCTCATTCTATTTATGGACAGTAGCCCTCATTGTCAAGAAGATTCTCCTTACTTAAATTAAGCTCATATCTGCAGATTCTACCTCCTCCTCCTAACTTTTCCCTCTCTAATGCCTCTTCTACACATCAGACTTCCAAATACTTAGAGACAGCTATCATGTCTCCCCACCCCCAAATATTCTCTTCTCTTGGCTTAACATGCCCATTTCCTTCAAGTGATCCTGGAATGACATGGTTTCTAAGTCCCCTCCCTCTCCTGGTTTCCCTCTTCTGAACATCCTTCTACTTGTCAATGGTGTTCCTATTATATGGTACCCAGACCCGAATACAGCACAGGCATCCCTTCCACACTGCATGGGTTAGGGGTGTGGTTCCCTTGCAATCCAGAAAATCCATATAAATTTTTTTGGTCCTCCCTTCATACCAGAAAAGAAGTCTGAATTATTATGGTATTAAAAGATAAAATATGTTGATATTATACAGTACTATGCATATATTTTATGCATTTCCGAGTTGCTAAACTTTTTTTGCATTATCTGCTGGCCTTGTCACATGTCATCTGCAGCTTCCACAAAACTCCTAAAAAATTTCCATTTAATTTCTAATGCTGACCCAAGATATATCAAAACAACAATGGGGAAAGTCATGATGTAGAGGGGATAACTGTACTTTATATGCAATCTGGCCTGACCTGAGGACCAGAGTATCAGCTCCTTCCTTCTGTACTTATATAGTGCAGCCTAAGATCACATTAGCTCTTCTGGCAGACCCTTGATTCATACTGAGCTCTCAATTCACTAAAATCCCCGAATCTTGTGCATCTAAATTATCTGTTGTCTAGCTATACTCTGTTCTTTACCCTGTATCTATAAAATTGATTTTTTGAGCCTAAATGTAGGATTTATATTTATTGGAAGGGAGGAGAGTACAAAGGGAAGAAGGAAATGGAGTAGAGGGAAGGGGAGCAAAAGGAAGAGAAGGGAACTGAAGGAAGACTTGGAAAGGGGAACACATAGAAAGTAGGCGATTGTACCTTGGTGAGAAAGAGTTTGCTGTTCAGTAGATTGGACAGCTGCCCCAGCCCCTGCTCCACTGTGGGCCTTCGACTCTCGGGTACCCCCAAGTCTCTGTGTAGGGGTGACTGCCGGTGACCAGGGAAGAAGACACGCTCTGCATATGACTTGTAGTCCAGAAATGGGATCCCACTGCCCACCAAGTCACTGGTAAGATCTGTCATCTCTGTCATCAAGTCTGTGGAAAAGGAAGATACATGGCGCTGGAGGGCTGAGTGGGATGAGGAGTCGGGAAAGAGAACCAGGGCTCAGGTGACAAAGAGGTGCAGTCAAGAGAGGTGGAATGTAGCAAGAAAGTCACCTGTAAACTCTTTCTTGCAGCGATCTCGAACACTGGTTTCCAGATTCTCCAACTGGATTTGCACTTTCTTATAGTCCCTCAGGGCCTGTTTGCTCTTCCTCCTAGGAGCCCCAATGTAAGCAGGAGAGAGAAAAAGAAGAGAGGAGAGACAAGGAGGGAGAAGGGGGGTTGGAGCAAAGTGGAGAAAAAGAATGGGGGATGGAGGTGGGAAGGAAAGGGAAGAGAAAGTGTGGGAAGGGTAGGGAAGGGAAGTTTGTGTGTGTGCATGTGAGACAGAAAGAGATAGAGACAGAGAGAGACAGAGAGAGAGAGAAAATATAAACGTACAATGAGTACCACAATAGAGGAAATTAGGGACCATGTAGTGGGGAGAGGAATAGAGACCATGTATAGGAAAGAAGACGAACATCATGTGGGCAGATATGAAGTGGGTAGAAGGAGAGAGAGAACATGTGGTGGGAAGAAGAGCGCTCAGAGGGGGAAAGAAAGAACATGAGTAACATGTCACTGGAGGGTGAAGGAGACTATAGACCTCCCTGATCCCCTATGCCCCCTCTCCTTCCCTTTCCCTCGTCCCCTTTCTAAGATGTATCCCACCTATAGATGAAGACGATGATGAGGACACCAAGTGCAAGGAGAGAGGCACCCACACCCAGTCCAACCTGGGCTCCTACAGGGAAGGCAAGGGGACTCTCGATGTCATATTGTACTCGGCCAAGGGTAAAGTTCAGGTTGCCCATCTGCACCTGCACCAGGAACAGAATCACCAAGTCCAGGCAGCTGTTGACTATACCCACCCAAGTCTCAAAGCTTTTCATGCTCCACTTACTGTGAACTCAGGGAGGGAGTTCAACCCTTCCCGGTGCCTAGGAGGGGGCTGCTCTGCAGGGGGTTCACAATACAAGTGGTTCCGTGTCAGGGTCTTCACTAGGCAAGTACCATCACCAATCATGGCAACCACTTCATCCTTAGAGATTGCTAGATCCAGATTCTCCCCCTGGGATAGAGAAAATGGGTCACTCAAGATGCCCGAATCCCCCCAAGTAAGAGCAATATGGGGTCATTCTGACCTGCCTCCCCCTAAGACATAGGAATACTGGGTCAAAATCAGTACTCCCCCTCTCCCTGGGATAGAGAGCAAATAAATAATCCCCTCCTCTCACTAGGATGCGAGGACAATGGTTCCATCAGATCCCTTTCCCTGAGATGGAGGGAAAGTGAGTCCCTCAAACCACCCTTCTCCTGGAACACGGGACTCCTTCTCCATGCAACAGAGGGAGAATGAGTCACTCAGCTCCACCTCCCTCCTCCTGGAATAGAAGGTCAATGGGCATCTCAAACTTTTAGACCTCACAAAAGGGTCCCCGCCCCCTCCTTGCATATTCAGTCTCTCCCTCCTATTCCTGTATTCCTCTCTCGCCATGATTCTCTCTTACCCTACCACACCGTAACTCTTCACAACCTTGCCTCCACCCTCTATGCTCCTGGAATCCTTCAGCTCCTACAACCCTCCCACAATGACCAGCCTTCAAGTCTCTGCTTTGTCCTTCTATCTCCCACAACTCAGCAAAGCCAGCGAGGCAGTAGGCTCACATGGCTAGGGCCAATGCACTCTTTTTACTGAACAAGCAGTGAAGCAGAGATGCCTGGGAAAAAAAGAATCACAGACCCAGCAGGAGGCAAGAAGAGTGAGGAACAGGATCTCTGCTATGACCTCCCTGGAAGCCACAGTGCTGTGAGGGAAGGATAGATACCTCCACAGAAAGCACGCTCCCAGGCTTGTGTCGGAACGGCGAGGAGGGGTCCTCCACGTTGAGGGGCCTCAGGATGGGGTTGGCCTCATAGGAGAAGCGTGTGGGATGCAGGGTAGCAAAGTCAAAGAGCAGATTGTCGAGGACAAACTCCAGCTGGACCCATGTACCACCTGAGATCCCAGGGATGGCTGGGGTACGGCACACAAGCAGGTGGGAGGAGTTGATATGGCATGGCTCCTCAAACTGAGAGAAAGGGAAAAGAGGCTAATGAGGAGAGGGACACAGCAGGACTATATCTGCCTCAGCTACTCAGTCCCAGTACCTCCAAGCTAGCACGCCAAGCCCACACACTGAATACCTGCTATGTGTGGGGGCCCCCACACCCAACTGGGTGCTGAGGGAATACAGAAAAAGATGTGCTCCCTGCCCTGGGGAAGCTCCTCATCTAATAAGGCAGTCATGACTCCTCTCTTAGTGCCATCAATCCCCTCAGGAAGCTCCAGCTACACAGGAAAATCAAGATAGAACCTAACAGAGCAAAATCTAGAGTTTGTCCAGATCACATGATAAACATACAGACCAAAATTCTCTCCTCCCTCACACAATCTTCACTGTGAACATTTAACATGCACAAATGTCACTCCCCAACAGATAAGTAGTGAAAGGATATAGACAAACAGAAACAGAATTGGAAAAAAAAAACCAACAACCACGTGAAAGAATACTCCAAACTGCTAATAGCAGGAGAAAGGTAAATCAAAACCACCCTGGGGATTCACCTCACACCCTACAAATTGACGAAGTTGACAAAAGAGAGCAATAGTCAATGTTGGAAGGGTTGTGGGAAGATAGGCACACTGGTGCATTGCTGCTAGAACTGTGAATTGGTACAATCATTTTTTGAAAACAATTTGGAATTATGCAAATAAGGTGATTAAAATGTCCATACATTTTGGCCTACAGATCCCATTACTGGGCTGATACCTTAGGCGGCCATTGATAAGAAGAAAGTCCCCATATACACCCAATATTTATATCAGCACTTTTTGTGATAGCAAAGAATTAGAAACAAAGTAGATAACCATCAACTGGGGAATGGCTAAACCAAAGTACGTGAATATAATGGAATATCACTGCGCTATAAGAAATGATGTATGATGCATACAGAGAAGCATGTGAAGATCTACATGAATTGATGCAGAGTGAAGGTAGCAGAACCAAGAAAATAATATACAGAGTGACCACAATGATGTGAATCAAAATAACAATCTCACACACATACAAAAATCAAGTGATTGTTACAAAATTATAAAGAACAAACATGGCTTGAAAGAAGAGATGTGAGAAGACACTCCTAGCCCACCCTTTTGCAAAGGGGGAGGTCTACAAGTGTTGCGTACTGCACATATTTTCAGACTTTTTCAATGTATTGATCAATTATATGGATTTTGTCCTCTTTTTCTTTTTTTGTCTTAGAAAAAATACTGTTATACCTTCCCAGTAAGATCAGGGGTGAAGCAAGGATGCCCATTATCACCACTATTATTCAACATAGTACTAGAAATGTTAGCTATGGCAAGAAAAGAAAAAGAAATCAAAGGAATTAGAATAGGCAATGAGGAAACAAAACTATCACTCTTTGCAGATGATATGATGGTATACTTAGAGAACCCTAGAGAATCAACTAAAAAACTACTTGAAATAATTAACGACTTTAGCAAGGTTGCAAGATATAAGATAAACTCACATAAATCATTAGCATTTCTTCATATGACCAACAAAGCCCAGAAGCAAAAGACAGAAAGAGAAACTCCATTTAAAATAACTACAAACAGGGGCAGCTAGGTGGCATAGTAGAAAGAGCTCTGGCCTTGAAGTCAGAAGGACCTGAGTTCAGAATCTGAGTTCAAATCTGGCCTCAGACACTTGTCACTTACTAGATGTATGACCCTGGGCAAGTCACTTAACCCTGATTGCCTCACTAAATAAATAAAAATAACTATAAACAATATAAAATACTTGGGAGTCTACCTGCCAAGATAAACCAAGAAACTATATGAACACAACTACAAAATGCTTTTCACACAAATAAAGTTAAATCTAAACAACTGGAAAAATATCATTGCTCATGGGTAGGCCAAGCCAATATAATAAAAATGACAATTCTGGGGCAGCTAGGTGGCACAGTGGATAGAGCACTGACCCTGGAGTTAGGAGGACCTGAGTTCAGAACCTGAGTTCAAATCTGACCTCAGACACTTGACACTTACTAGCTGTTTGACCAAGAGCAAGTCACTTAACCCCATTTACCTAGCAAAAAAAAAAAAAGACAATTCTGCCTAAATTAATTTACTTATTCAGTGTCATACCAATCAAACTACCAAAAAAGTATTTCATAGACTTAGAAAAAAATAACAACAAAATTCATCTGGAAGAATTAAAGGTCAAGAATATCAAGGGAATTAATGAAAAAAAACATACAAAGAAAGGTGGCCTAGCAATACCAGATCTCAAACTATATTATAAAGCAGTAATCATCAAAACTATCTGGTATTGGCTAAGAAATTGAGTGGTGGATCAGTGGAATAGATTAGGTATACAAAACACAGTAGTCAATGTGCATAGTAACCTAGTGTTTGATAAGCCCAAGAACCCTAGCCTTTGGGATAAGAACTCACTATTTGACAAAAAAAGTTGGGAAAATTAGAAAACAATAGGACACAAACTAAGCATAGACCAGCATCTCACACTGCATACCAAGATATGTCAAAATGGGTACGTGATTTTAGACACAAAGGATGACACCATAAGCAAATTACAAGAACAAGGAATAGTCTACCTGTCATATCTATGGGGAGGGGAAGAATTCATGACCAAACAACAGATAGAGAATTATGAAATGTAAAATAAATAATTTTGATTACATTAAAATAAGAAGCTTTTGTACAAACAAAACCAATGCAACCAAGATTAGAGGGGAAACAGAAAGCTGGGAAACATCTTCATAGCAAGCATGCCTGATAAAGGCCTCATTTCTCAACTACACAGGTACACAGAGAACTGACTCAAATTTATAAGAATACAAGCTATTCCCCAACTGATAAATGGTCAAAGCATATGAACAGGCAGTTTTCAGATGAAGAAATCAAGGCTATCTATAGGCATATGAAGAAGTGCTCTAAATAATTTTTTATTACAGAAATGCAAATTAAAACAATTCTGAGGTACCACCTCATACCTATCATACTGGCTAAGATGGGAAAAAAAAGGAAAATGATAAATGTCGGAGAGGATGTGGGAAAATTGGGAATTGTGGAAAAAATGTGGGGAAATGCACTGTTGGTGGAGAGCATTCTGGAGAGCAATTTGGAACTATGCCCAAAGGGTAACCTAACCGTGCATACCCTCGGATCCAGCAATATCACTACTAGATCTGTATCCCAAAGAGATCACAAAAAAGGGAAAAGGACCTACATGTGCATTACAGCAGTCCTTTTCGCGGTGGCAAAATATTAGAAACTGAGGGGAGGCCCACCAATTGGGGAATGGCTGAACAAGCTATGGTACATGAATATAATGGAATACTATTGTGCAATAAAAAAATTATTAACAGGCAGATTTCAGAAAAACCTGGAAAGACTTACATGAACTAATGCAAAGTGAAATGAGCAGAACCAGGAAAACATTGTACACAGTATAGGCAACACTGTGCGATGATCAACTATGAATGACTCAGCTCTTCTCAGCAACACAATGATTGAAGACAGGCACAAAAGACTCACAAAGGAAAATGCTATCCACATCCAGATAAAGAACTGAAGGACTCTGAATGCAGATTGAAGCATATTTTTTTAACTCACTTTATTCTTTTGCATGTTTTTTCTCTTTTGATCTTTTTCTTCTTTCACAGCTGTGACTAATACAGAAATATGATTTACCTGATAGCACATATAAAAATTTGGAACTCAAAATCTTGTAAAAATGAATGCTAAAAATTTTCTTGACATGTAATTGGAAAAAAAAAAGATACTATATAAAAAAAAATACTGTTACAATACTGGCTCTTTGGCAAGGAAACACTGGGGAAAACTATGGTGATGTAAAGGGGCAGCTAGGTGGTGCAGTACATAGAGCACTGGTCCTGGATTCAGGAGGACCTGAGTTCAAATCTGGCCTCAGACACATAACACTAGCTGGGTGATCCTGGGCAAGTCACTTAACCCCACTGCTTAGCTAAAGAAAAAAAAAAGAAAGGAAGAAAACTATGGTGATGTAAAAAAAGCAAAAGACATCAATAAAAATTTATATTAAAAAATACATGAATCTTGAAAAATTTATTGAGGCAGACTGAGGTGCTGGCAGCTGGGAAGAGAATGAAGTGTTAGAGGAAGGGGTTTAGAGGTACATAGTCCTAGTTAGCTAGGGACAGAAAGAGGTGTTCGGGAGGCTGGAGACAGACTGATCCTGTGTAAAGTCTCCAAGACAGATAGGGGAGACCACATGTCATGCAAGGCACTGTGTTAGGATGAGTTTCTGGGACAAGAAGATATAACAGATACAGTCACATCAATGCAACAGGACACAGTGAGAACCTGGGTAGCCAAGAGATGACCTACGTGTCGTGTGCTGCATGGAGTATCCTGCGAACATTCGGGCCCAGTCTCTGGGACGATCCGGCGTCTTCGGCCCAGCCCCCGTCGCTGACGCAGATGCTGCTCCTGAGTTGATATCGTGACCCGGATTCTTGGCGTCTGCACCACATCCAAGTTCTGCCCATGGACCCAGATCACACGCCCTCCACTGCAACACAGCCATGTGAGCCACGGCCCCACTGCAACATAGCCATGTGAGCCATGGCCCCATGGACACCAAGCCACAAGAGCTTCCCAGCCCTCTCCCCCACAGCCGCACACACCCACATACCACCACCATCCAGCCAAGAGCCCTGCCTCCCAACCACGCCCGGCACCTGATGAAGCTCTTGGCTGGGCCAGCAGAGGTTATGTTAGGGTCCGGTGTGTACTGGAAGAGGCCCTGCTGCAGCTGCCTCTCCACACCCCCAAACCACACAGCCACCTGCAGTGCCGCAGACACAGGACTCGGACTCGTCTGACACTGCAGCTGTTCCATCTGGGCCACTGAGAAACTGAGAGCCAATGGGAAAGAAAGAGAACCTGGGTCAGGTTTAAGGAAGGTAACGAGAGCCTGATCCCATGGCAGGCTCTGAAGGAGAAAGATTCTATAAATCTGCTAAACTAAGGGAAGGGGACAAGGAAACAGTGACAGAGGTAGAGGAGTGCAGGAGAGAAAGGGGGATGGGGAGGAAGAGGAGAAAAGAGGAAAGAGTAAGAATTATAGCCTCTGTAATGGGAAAACCCAGAACAGGAGTGCCCCGCCAGGCCATGGTTGGGATCTCTGGAGTCATTATCCAGGTTCAGGACACATACAAGTATCTAAGATTCCCTCAGTAACATAGTATGGCTGTATCATCCAGGGGTTTAATCAAACTTTTTTTAATTAGTTATGTTTCCCAAGTTGGAAACATGGATAGAATGATAGTCTTAGAGTCAAAAAGATCTGCCTCTAACATATTGGTTGTGTGATCATAGGCAAGTCATTTAACTACCTCAGATAACTCTACATCCAAAAGTAACAAATGAATGTCAGATTTCCATTGGTGGAAGCAGTTTCTACACCAGGAGCTCCTTTTTTGCTGTTGTTCAGTCATTTTCAGTCATGTCCAACTCTTCATGACCTCATTTGGGGTTTTTTTGGCAAAGATAATGGAGTGGTTTGCCATTTCCCTCTCCAGTTCATTTGACAGATGAGGAAACTGAGGCAAATGGGGTTAAGTGACTAGCCCAGGTCACATAACTAGCAAGTGTCTGAGGCTAGACTTGAACTCATAAAGATGAGTGTTCCTGACTCCAAGCTTAGCACTCTATCCACTACACCACCTAGCTGCCCTTAAAGAGAAGCTCCTTAACAGTCACTGAAATTACAGGTCCAAACAAAAATAAAAAATATTTCCAGTTTAACTGCATTTTGAGATTGCAAATTCCATAAATGTATTCCTCATTGTGTAAAATCTATTTCTTTGTCCTAAACTTACATCTTTCAGGCTTCAAAGGAGACTCTATTAATCCAAGATTAGGTAAACAAGTCCTTTGCTGATCCCTTCATATAATCATAATATTTCATGCTTAGGGGGAACTCAAGAGGTCTTCTAGTCCTCCCATTCCACCCAAATCAAGAAATCCTGCCTTCACCATTCCCTTGAGGGCACACATGTCAGAGAACTCAAGACCTCAGGAGGCAGCTCCAAACATCAGCAAGTTTTTCTTACCTACAGCTGAAATCTGCCTCTCAGTAACTCCCACCCATTGCTCCTAATTCGTCCCTCTGGAGCCAAGAAAAATAAACCTAATCTCTCTTTCACATAAAAGCCCTTCCCTTCAAATATCGGAAGGCAGTTATCAAGTCCTGTTTAGGCCTTTTCTTCCTAAACCAGTTATTCAACTAGTTCTGAACTCACCTAAACATGCTAACAGCTAGTCCAAGCCTCACCATCTTGCCTATAGGGAAGAAAATGAAAAAAGCATGGACAAAACCAAGAATTCAGAATGACGCATGTATTTTTGGACATGGCTAATGCAAGAATTTGTTTTGTTTGACTCATATTTGTTACAAGGGTTTTGTTTTTCTATTTTGGGGAGGGAGAGAAAGTAGACTTTTGTTCATTGAAAAACATTAAATTTAAGTTTTTATAAAGCATGGCTAAAATTAAATGTTTTGCTGAAATTCAGATATGTTACATCTATAGCATTCATCTGAGCCTAGTAGCCATATCTCCCTTCATATTATCTACAAATTATGAAACATGTCATCTATGCCTTCATCCAAGTCACTGATGTATACCTGAAACTAAATTTATCTGGGACCAAAAGAATGGCCTGTTATCTTGAAATGACTAATTCATAGAGAACTATTTTGGCTTCTGTTAAATAAAGCCAAATTAGCTCAAGCCAAAGGACTGTGAATAAGCAGAGCTAAACTAAGTAGAAAAGCATTGTTTCAAATGTGTATTGTGATTGGTCCAAACAGAACTCGATGATTTTATGAAACTTGGAGAGGGTGTGAAGAAGGGTGCTTCAGTGCAGAGATGGCTAGAATTAGGGTCAAATGAGCAACTAGTGAAGGGAAGCCAGTGTTCCCTCAAAGAATAAATTCTTTGAAGGGGAAAAAAAGACAGAAAGGAAATCCTAGCCTGTGTCCAGAGTAGAAGACTATGACACAAAGGATAACTTTGGAGCTATGCAATAGATATATGTCTTCCTAAAGGGATCCAGCTAGACCTCTGAAGGAAGAGGAAGCTTCCAGTGCTCCAAGGAATGAAGATATGGCTCCACAGGCGCCTGAAGTATAGAAGGAACCCAACAAGAGTCAGAAGAAGAGACAACTCATGATACCTGGTGACTCTCTGCAGAGGACAGAGGTAGCCCCGTTAGCCAGACACAAACAGCAGAAGAGTCTCTTATCTTATCAGGGTCTCTGTATTCTGAATATGACAAAAGTGTGTCCTAAGGCTTGTCAAACCTGATGACCACTTCCCACTGCCTGGTGATTCACTTGTTACAGACAAGTAACACAATCAGAAGGAACCTGGGAAGCATCACTAGGGCTTAGGAAGTCTTCAGCAAGAGTGAAGTGAACAGAACCAAGAGAACATTGTACACAGTAACAGCCATACTGTGCAATGACCAACTACGACTGACTTAGCTCTTCTCAGCAATACAAAGATCCAAGACAATTCCAAAAGACTCATGATGGAAAATGCTGTCCACATCCAGAGAAAGAACTATGGAGTCTGAATGCAGATCAAAACATGCTATTTTCTCTTTTGTTTGTTTGTTTTCTTTTTCTAATGATTTTCCCCTTTCATTCTGATTCTTCTTTCACAACATGACTAATGTGGAAATACGTTTAGGATAACTGTACATGTATAACCTATATCAGACTGTTTGTTCTCTTGGGGAGGGAAGAGTGGAGGGAGGGAGAAAAAAATTTGGAATTCAAAGTCTTATAAAAGTGAATGCTGAAAACTATCTTTACATGTAATCAGAAAAAAAATAAAATACCATTAAGTGGAAAAAAATAAGGAAGTCTCAGCAAGCAAGCAAAGGTCTTTAGCAATATGGCTGGGGTTTCCAGCACTGCTGCCAATGAACAGGCTAAAGAAAAGCAAAACTGAACCCAGCAAAAATGAGCATGATCTTTCAGGGGAGGAGATGGATATTCAATGAAATAGGGGACTTCCATACCTTCCTGATAAAAAGACCAGAGCTCAACAATAAATTTGATCTTCAAATACAAGACTCAAGAGAGGCATAAAAAGGCAAATGGGACAGAAAGATACATGTTGTTAATAAGGGCAAACTGTTTACATCCCTACAAGGGAAGATGACACTTGTAACTCTTGAGAACTGTACTGTTATTACACCATGCCAAAGGGGTATACATAAAGGGGTTGGGTATAAATTGACTTTGATGTAATGATGAAAAAAATCTAATCAGGTGGGTTAAATGGATCCAAGAAAGTGAATTAATCTGATCTAACTAAGAAAATGTACTGAGAGAAAAGGAAAGGAGGAGGCAGACAAGGGTAAATTACATCACAGGAAAAGGCACAAAATCCTATTACAGCAGAGGGAAAGAAGGAAGGGAGATGATCATTGTTTGAACTTCACTCTCATCAGATTTGGCTCAAGAAGGGAATAATATAATCACTTAGGCATAGAAATCTAACATGTTCTATAGGCAGTAGGAGGGAAAAGGGGAAAGAAAATGGAGGGGGTTAATAGAAGGGAAGTAGGACTGAGGGAGGCTGTGGTCAAAAGCAAAACATTAGTGAGGAGGGAAAAGGAGAAAGGAGAAAGAAAAGCAAAAACGGGGGGAAAAAGAATGGAGAGAAAGACAAGAATAGTAATCATAATTGTGAGTGTGATATATGAATGTAATGGAATACTATTGTGCTGTAAGGAAGGATGAACAAGCAGACTTCAGATAAACCTGGAAAGACTTGCATGTTTTGATGCTGAGTGAAGTAGAACCAGGAGAATGTTGTACACAGAAACAGCCACACTGAGTGAAGACTGACTTTGACAGACTTAACCTCTCTCAGCAATACAAGGATCTAAGACATCTCCAAAAGCCTCATGACAGAAAATGCTATCCACATCCAAAGAAAGAACTATGGAGTCTGAATGCAGATCAAAGCATGCTATTTGCTATTTTTTTCTTCTGTTGTTGTGTTTTGTTTCCTCTTTCTGATGGTTCCTCCTATTAGTTCTAATTCTTACTTATAACATCACTAATGTGAAAATATGTTTAATAGGAATGTATGTGTATAGCCTATATTAGATTGCGCGCCATCTTGGGGAGGGAAGTAGGGAGGGAGGAGGAGAAAAATTTAAAACTCAAAAGCTTATGGAAGTGATTGTTGATAAATTAAAATGAATTAATTTTAAAAAATTTTTTTTGAAAAAGCAGAATTGAAAAGTGAACAACTGGCTAATAAATTAGTGGACTTGGGGACAATGACTTAAATATGGGAATTATGGATTCTTGGTCAAGGACGGAAAATACCCAATAAAGGCTGTAAGTTCCTTGAGGGATGGGACTGTTTCATTCTTGTCTTTGTCTTCCCAGTGCTGAGCACAGTTCCTAGAACTGTTATTAAATGCTTACTGATTAACTGATTTAAAAATATATATATGTTTGCCTAGAGTATTTTAAACTGATTAAGAGGGCTCCAAACTGAAAAAAGTAGGGGAAGGAATTCAAAGTGGTACTTTTTATGGTAGCAAAGAACTGGAAATAAAGTAGATGCCCATTGACTGGGAAACAGCTAAACAAACTATGGTACATGAATGAAAAGGAACATTATTGTGCTGTAAGAAATGACAAATGTAATGAATAAAGAGAAGCATGGAAAGGTCCACATGAACTGATGAAGAGTGAAGGGAGCAGAGCCCAGAAAACAATTTACACAGTGACCGCAACAATGTAAGTGGAAAGAATGATCACCAAAAAAAAAATCAAAAGTGAATATTACACTATTATGAAGATCAAACACGAGCCAAAAGAGAACCCAGCCCTTTTCAGAGGCGGGAGGTTCCACAACTGGCGAACTATTTGTACCTGACCAGTGGTAGAGCCTTCCAAGCCCATATTGGTCTCATCACCTATAACTGGACATCCTGTACCTTGACCCCTACATGGTGATGTTATTTTGGTCCTCTTCAAGAACAAAGGACAACAACCAATCAATATTGTACATATTTTCTGACTTTTCTGATGTATTGATCAGTTACACTGTGTTTTTTTCCTTCTTTTTCCTTCTTTTGTCTTTAAAAAATACTATTTGTTATCCAGGAATTTGCTTTGTTTAACTTACATTTTGTAACAGGAAATTTTTGGATTTTTGCTTTCTCGATAGGGAAAAGAGTTAGGAAGAGAGGGCAGATCTTCATTTTAAAAGATAAAATATAGCCACATAGGATGGCTCTCTGGAAGGGCAATGATTCTGGCAGAAATTATGGTAATGTTAAAAAACAAAAGCCATCAACAAAAATTTATTTTTTAAAACATGGAGGAAGGCAAACAAAACTACCCACAAAAATCTGCCAAACTAGATACAATGGAGAGTTGAAGGAAGGACATAGGAAGAAGAATGCCAGCAATTCATTAAAAAAAAAATACTCCCAAAAAAAAGGAAACAATAAAAGCCAGGGCCTCAGATCTATAAATGCACAAATTGTGGGCAATAAACTATAATGAACACGGAAAACTAAAGAGCTTAAAGTACAAAGAGGTAAATCCAACCTTCTAGATATCCCAAAACCTTGATGAAATGGCTCATGATTAAAATATGGCTAGGAAAGGGCACACTTTCCTAGACAGGAACAGAGAAGATAAGTGGGATAGAGTAACATTGTACATAAAGAAGAAATATTTATATAAGGAAATACAGGATGGAGTAGGGGCTAGATGTGAAAAGGATCTAGGAATTTTAGCCAATTGTAAACTCAACACAAACTAATCATGTGACCCAGAATAACTGAGGCTTGGGGCAGCTAGCTGGTGTAGTGGATAGAGCACTGGCCCTGCAGTCAGAAGGACCCAAGTTCAAATCTTGGCCTCAGATACTTACTAGCTGTGTAACCCTGGGCAAGTCACTTAATCCTGATTGCCTCTCCCCAATAAAAAAAATTGAACAACTGAGGCTAAATAAACTGAGGCACGGTGCCAAGAACAAGAGAAGAGATGGACTGTCTACTCCACCACATCCAGAGCATTTTGTTCAGTTCTGGGTGCCATAGTTCATGGAGGACATTGACAAACTGGAGCAGATCCAGAGGAAGATGACAAAGACAATTAGAGATCTGGAGGCCATGCCATCTGGGCATCAACCGTGGGTACCAAAGAGGTTCAGCACGGAGAAGAAAAAACTTAACAAAGAACATGATAGCTGTCTTCAAGGAGCTGAAGAACTGTAATGTAGCAAGGATCAGGCTCATTTTAATTGTCCTCAGAGGGCAGAAGTAGGAGTAATGGGTAAGGCTGAAGAAGAGCACATTTCAATTCAATGTCAGGAAAAACTTCCCAACAACAGGACAAAATGAGTTGCCTCTAAGGTCTTTAGGCATAAGCTTTACTGACTGAGCAACCACCTGTCAGGAACTCTGAAGAGAGGATTCCCATTCAAGTACAAGTTACAGTATATGACTTCTAAAGGTCCTTCCAACTCTGAATTTCTGTGACTTTGTATAGAAAGAGGGGGGAAAGGAAGCTGGAGAATTAGGAAGATGGAAGTGATGGAAGGAAATGAGAGGTTTAAAAAAAAAAGTATCGAAACAGCCCTTACAGTTGACAGGGATGGTCACCAACCAACACTCGAATGTCCTCCAATCGTCCAGTTAGCAGCTTGGAACCCTGAAGGGTCAGATACGTACCCCCAGCCTTGGGACCTCGGATAGGAAAGATAGACTTCACCTCGGGATCCTGAGGAAAACAGAAAACAATGAATATGGGGGAAGAGAGATGTGGAAGAGAGAGGCACACAGGGAGGGAGAGCCAGAAAACAGATAGGCTTAACAGAGAGAAGGAAAGACAGGAATCTCTCTCTCTCTCTCCACAATAGGAGAAGAAAGGAAAAAATACAGGTAAAGAAACAAAAAGACATTAAACATAACAGGAAATGGAAAAAAAGTAGATGGACAAAACAAGACAGAAACATACATGGAGCCAGGAAGAGAAGAGAAGAAAGACAAAGACAGAAAAACAGATACAGAAACAAGAGGAAAAAGGAAGAGAAACATGGGGAGACGAGAAGAAGGGAGGAGGGTATAAGAATCATAATAATAGTTTATAATATTATGTGTTTATTAATAATAATATGTTCACATAACAGTATAATGATAAGAATATTAATTAATAATATAATAGCATTTATATAGTGCTCTAAGGTTTGCAAGGCACAGTACATATGTTATCTCATTTGGTTCTCATAACAATCCTGTGCGGTAGGTGCTATTATTATTCCCATCTTACAGATGAGGAAACTGAGAATAAGAGGGGTTAAATGATTAGAGACTAAAGGACTTGACCAGGATCACACAGCTAGGAAGCATCTGAGGTAGGATTTAACTTGGGTCGTTCCTAACTCTAGATACAGTGCTCTTATCCACTGTACCACCTAGCTGCCTCAAAGACAGACAGGACAGAGACAGACAGAGAGGCAGAGGTGGATAGACAGAGACAGAGAGACAGAGACCAAAGAAGACAGAGTCAGGCAAAGGAGTAAGGGAAGAGTAAAGGAGTGAGACACACATAATCAAAGGGGGTCAGACAGTGACGAAGACAGGATAGGGAGGAGCACAGGCCCCCACCAGAATAAGGGGCCTGGGAGGGAGGCCTGAGAGGCTCACAAGAAGGGTGGAAGAGAAATGCAGTAGTTCGGGCGAGCAGGGAGAGGGTCACTCTACCTGATAGGCAAATTTGTGGTCAGAGATGCCATGTCCTCCACCAGGAACTTCCACAGTCACATGACCCACTTTCTCCTCCCCACTGGCACCAGTGACACACACAATGCTGTGGAAGACAAGCAGTCCACTCAGTCCTCTCTCCATTCACCAGACCATTCACGTCACCTCCCTCTTGCCCCTGCTGACCTCGTGCAGGGCTCCAACAGGAGTTCCCAGGAATTAGCGCTCAAAGGAGAAGTTCCTTCCCTTCTCCCACAAGCAAAGTATACTGAAAGAACCCTGGGAGAATCATTTGCCTCATGTTTCCTTGTATGATTTAAAGATTTTTCATTGTAATCATGAAGATGACCACTGATCTGAGCAGACTAAGTGTTACAATGGAATGGGATAGTCACAGACAGCATTGTGAGGCAGGCAGTGGTTAAGTGACTTGCCCAGGGTCACACAGCTAGTACTTCTCTGAGGCTGAATTTGAACTCAGGTCTTGGTGCTCTAGCTTTATTATCTATCTTTATTAAGTACCTACTACATGCACTGGGGGTTCAAAAATGAAAACCAACAGAACAGCCCTTAGCCTATACTCAAGCCACAGAAAGCCGAGACAGAAGAGAAAAAAGGACTTTTCTGAGGTCAGGGTTCAGAGAAATCTCTAAGCAAATGGATAAAGGTCAATGTGGGTTGGCCTGAAGCCAGGGCTTCCAAAAAGAAAGAATCTCTCTCTTTAGCACTCAGGACAGAGGCCAAGGTGAAGACGGAGCAAAGGTGTGGCATGGCCTGGGCAGTCAGGACCAACCAGGCAGAGATACTGAGGAGATGCTGACAGAGTGGTGCCAAGCCTAACACAGAGGTAAGAATCAAGGGCTGGTCATCGTCATCCTTGTGATGAGGAGGGTCCAGCGAGGACTAGGCTGCAGGGCCCCAAAGCAAGAAGGGATTACAACCCACAAAAAGGAAGCCAGGAGGAGCACGTGAAGGCAGAGCCGCAGAGCCTGGGGTCCCTGCCTTGCTTTTAGCTCATCAGCAGGCACTGGTGCCCTCTCTTCCCTGTGACAGTTCCCTACAAAAGGATACCTGCTTGAGACCTCATACTCCCGGGCATCCACAACACAAGGCACTCCAGCCACGGCGACTGTCTCTGCAATGTCTTGATGCTTCTGGCCCAGGTTGGATCCGCGGATGGTAATGCGGGTGCCCCCATCCACGGGCCCAGTCAGTGGCTCCACCTGTCCAGTTACACCACAGTCACTAGGAGAGCGACACCCTGCGCTCCATCTTTCCTCCCCCCTGGCTTCCCTGAGGTGTGGATTAAGAGTCTGTCCCCAAGCCTGAAGGCCCCTCTACCCTACTCCAAACCCTCCCGAGGCTCTTTCCCTGTGCATCCAGTTACCCACATACCGTGTGGATGAGGGGAGCAGGACACAGAGCTGCCTCAGCCTCAGCACAGGCCTCACGGGCTGCACACTGGGGATGGTCGCCATCACACCACACACAACTGTAGCGAGGGTCCGCCGTACGGCAGAGGCTGCAGTCTGGGCGTCCCACAGAGCAGTCGTACAGTGTCACTGAGAGAGAAGAGAATTATAGCCACAGTGAATGGAGCACAGAGACACTAGTCCCCCGTCTTCTCCATCCTGTCCTCCTCCAGGTCTTCCTTCCTCTCCCCTGAACTGGAGGATCCCCTGTTCCAGAGATGTCAGACACACAAATGGCCTGAACTGGATCAAAACATAATTGGAAAATATTTAACAAAATAAATAAAAGTACAACAGAACATGAGATAATGTTAACTTGGGGTTTTCTAAATCAATTTGTGGCTCCTGGGGATCCTTACGGGCGGCTTAGTGGCTACCATTTCTATTTGAATTTGACACCACCTGCTCTACTTCCCTCCTATGACACATCCTCCCCCCACCCTTCAAGTATTCACCATGAAGCCCCTCTGCACTGTCCATTCGAAGCCTTCCCGACTTCCGCAAGAACATAGGCACGTGGAACTCGGGCTGTGGGGCTGCATAGCTAAGCTGAAGGGGGGAGAAAAGGTGGGAGAGAAGGGGTTAAGGCAGGAAAGGAATGACAGCAGCTTGGAGTAGGAGAAGTCACCCAGAGGAGGATCAGAACAAGGAGTATTAGCTTCCAAATGTTCAAAGAGCAGCAACCATGTTTTCTGACTCCCAAGATCAAAGGTCCTGTGTCCTTCTCAGACTTGGGGGGCTCTCTAATGTCACAGACCATATCCTCCCTCAGACTGAGGGTCTCTCCAAGGTCAACAGGCCAGGTCTCCTTCAGACATGGAGGCTCTCTAAGGCCAAAAAAACCCTGAAGAAATGAGGGGGGGGGTACAGAGAGAAGAGACTCTCTGAGAGCAGTAGCTGTCTCTCTCTCTCTTCAGACGGAGGCCCCCTTGTTATGGAGATCAGTGTATTAGAATAACCAGCTGCCTGAGGTTGGTGACAAACACACCCCACCTCGGGATCCCCAATTCCTTTACCTGGTGCAACTGGCAGATGATGCGACAGAGAGCACCTGTGACCCCATCACACTCCACTCTGGCTTCTGTCACTTCCATATGACCCTCCAGCTCCAGCACACATTCATAGTCCCCTAGCCCATCCTGGGGAAGAAAAAAAAAATTGAGGCACATAACTATTGAAGATTACTCACCCTGTGGGTGCTTAATAAACATTTGCTCAACTACTTTATAAATTAAGAGAGCTGGAGGGTCTTAAGGTAGCATGAGGACATCTCTGTGGTGTCTATAAGGCCACGAACACAACATAAGAATTTTAGGGACAACTCTAGGAATGTAGAAGCTTCTTCAGGACTAGAGAGTTGAATCTCTAAGACAGTTCAGATAGCTCTGGGATCTTAGGTGTGTCTCAGAGGCTTCCAAACAATTTCTCTAGGACTGACCTACAGGCCATGTCTAGGACCTCTGGGACATCTCTGGAGCCTTAAGGACACCTTTGGGACTTTGGGAACATTGCTAGGGCCTCAGAGACATCTCTGGGATATCTTAAGAACATTTCTGGGGCTATGGCAATGTGGTTGGAGCACTGCCATACTTAGGAGACAGACTTAGACCAAACTGTAAGAGATCTAAATGGTGGTTGCCTCTGGTCCTGACACTATTCCAGTTCCCCAAATTGAGGATGATATCAGTAAACAGTAGATGCAGAGGGTGCCAAATTTTCCTTCTAACCAATGCCCAGAACCTGAAGGGCCCAGTACACAAGGAATAAAGGTTTCCTAGGGAAACCTAGCTTCCTAGCTTCAGGAATAGGAAGAGCCAGTGAATGGGCCCAAAGACTCACTTGGTACAAATGGAAATTCCTTCCTAGAAGGGTCAGTTCATGTTCTATCTGGACAGGCAGCAAGGAAGAGCCCTCAATACCCTCCACACAAGGACACGCAGCTGGACCCTGATTCACTGCTTCTTCCTATAGAAACCCAGAGAAAGAAGGAAGGTGTGGGGCTGCATTCTCTCTCCCTGCCCTCCCACCCATTCCTTTCTTCCCTCCGCCCACAGAAACCCCAGACACTGAAGGAAGCCATCAGGCCATCTCCTCTCCTCCCACAGAAACCCCAGATGACAAGAGGGAGGGAAGGAATAGGGCAGCATCCTCTCCCTTCGCCCCTGGCCCACCCCCTTGTCCTGCCTCCCTCTCTTCCTGCCCCAAAGACCTTGCTCTTTCTCCCTCCTGGCTCTCAGCCTCACCAGCTCCCAGAGCCCGGGGGAGTCATACTGGTAGTCGAGGTCAGGGAGGAGGATGTGGGGGGCGTTGGGGCCCTCGAATTCCGATGAGTCTCCGTCACCTGAGAGGAGGGTGGAAGTGGAGAAGGGCGATGCGTCACTCCCTGTCCACTCGTCCGCCTCCGGCAGTTCATCCTCTCTGAGCAGCCAGTCAGGGGCATGCTCCTCGGAGCCAGCAACCCCTGGGAAAGTGGTGGAGGGGCCAGTGCTGGGAGCATGATCCCAGGGAGGAGAGGAGGAAAGGGCCAGGGTACCAAGGTCCCAAGATGAAGAGGTCAGAACCGTTGTATCGGAGGGCTGCCCTCCTAGTGGAGATGGCGAAGGGGCCGGGGGCAAAATGTCCTCAAGTTTGGTCACTGCTCCAGGGGCATCCACTATGGTGACAGTGTCACCTACACCCTCCATGATCCCAGGATCCACAGAGATGCTGGGGAGATGGCTAGGCTCCTCCGTCAGAGAGGTCTCCAGGGCTGGACCAAGAGTCACCTCTGACCCAACAGTGCTAGGTATAAAGGCAAAGGCCTCTGTCGTTGGAGGGGCCGTGGAGGCAGGCATGGGGACTGTGAGGGGAGGCCCAGGCTTTGGGGGAGGTGTCCTAGGTGTCTGTTCTGTTGGGGGAGGCATGGGATCTGTGGAGGGGGAAGTGGACTCCACAAGGAGAGTGCCAGGCTCTGTTGGGGGAAGTTTAGGAACAGGAGTAACAGGAGCTTTGGGGGCACAGAAAGGGTAAAAGTGTGAACATCCCCTGTGGGAGCCACCGAAGAGAGGAGTGGCCAGGAGGCTGACAAAGGCAGCTGGGGATTGGAAGCAGAGAAGGAAGGGGGGAGGGAGACACACTCAAAGGACACGATCGGGAAAAGAGAAGGCCAAGAGGTGTAGGTAGGTTTATGTTGCAGAGAAAAGATAAGGAGACCAAAGAAAAGAGAAACATACAAAAAAATCTAGTTAATTCTCTAAGGGAGGACACAATCCCAGGAACATCAGTGACTAAGGGAGGGGCCCCAGGAAAGTGTCACAAAAGGAAGGCAACCAGAGGGCTTGGTGGACATGTTCAACCTACCTACTTCAGAACACACACAGACACAAATCAAATCAGTAAACCCAAGTGGAACCACCATAGGAAAAAACATGCATAAAACACGTATCGCCTCATACACAGTGAGGAGCGGAGTCCCAATTCTATATACTGTCACACAAGCGTGAGCAGAATGAAACTGCATTAACAGATAGACAGTCACACACAGGCAGCAACACTAACACATTCTCATGCACAAGATCACAGGCAGTCACATGGACAAAGAGGTAAGCCTCTTTGGTGGTCACATACAGAAGGGTCATAGTCATTCACACGTACAAAGCACAGACACAAGGATTCAGGGAATTGTTCCCCCAACCCTCCCGTCCAGGACACTTGCAGAGCACAAGAGCTGGGGCTGAGACCAAGGGCGTGGGCATGGGCATGCCATGGAATGGAGAGGATAAAGGTTTGGGAAATGCTGGCGAGGGCCCTGAGGAGTTGCTGAAACATGTTATTCTCCCTGCCACTGGGATTCAGGAACAAGGGTTCACTCTCTCCCTCCCACATCCAACCCTAGAGCCCTTCCCTCCCAGGAACATCTACTCTTTAAGAAATCTCCTGTCCCATTCCTAAAACACACATGCAGGCATGCACGCACGCACGCACCTTTTCTGTGCTCATACCTCCTGCGTCATACTCACCCTCTGGCTGTGCACAATAGGCCCTGCTTCACAGGCTGTCTTGTGGGTACACAGATGCTGCCACACACACCAGCTGCACCCCCAGGTGCTCTGCACACAGGCCTGGCATCTAGGACAAGGCAAATTATACTGAGGGAGGAGAGGAGCACATGAAGGGTGATGATGATAGGGCTGATGTGGAGGCTGGTAGGAAGCCAGGTCAAGGGTAGGTACTGCCAGAGACAGCAGACTCGTGGTCACAAAGCACTTCACATATATTTGAAATCAGGGAAACAGGACTGTTAGGACGATCCCTGTTTTGTCAATGAGAAAGCAGGGAGTCAGAGAGAAGTGACATGTCCAACGTCATACAGCTGGTCACACACAGAAGGAGGACCTAAAATCAGGTATCTCAACTCCCAGCCCAGGAATCTTTCTACCGCACCCAACAGCTTGTCAAGATTAGGGACCAGTGTCAGGAAAATCAGTCAACTGGAAACTGGGTTTGGGGGTCAGAGATAAGGAGGTCTCTGGTCAGGGGAAGGGATCAAGGGGGTGGGTCAAGATCAGGGATAGGAGAAGATGAGTCAAGGTTAGGGATAGAGGAATAGATCAGGGTCAGGGATGGGAAAGGGATGGTGGGGAATGGAAAGATAGGTCAAGGTCAGGGACTGGTGGGGGGTAGGCACCATGCTAAGCACTAGGGATGTATAAGGAGGCAAAAGACAGTTCCTATCCTCAAACGACTTACAATATAATGGGTGATGTTGGCGGGAAGGACCAGGGTAGAGAAATGTGGCAAGGTTAAAAAGCCTGGACATCAGGGCAGGTGAACTTACGGTGTAGACAGATGAAGCACAGCCACAGCAGCACAGTCATAGAAGGAGAACTCAGTGGATGCAATTACTACTTCCCCAAACTTCAGCAATAAAGGCACTAAGACATGATCTGTGAGGGGTTGGGAGGGAGCTCTAGTCAGGGCCTGGGACTCACACTCATACACACCCACAGGTTCTGCTGCAACAGAGAACCAAAGACCCAAGGCACAGGGAGAAAGGAGGGAAGGAGATGGAGGAAAAACGAGCCATAGACCCAGCCCCCTTCCAGGGCTACCCGCTTCTCCCATCCTTGGCCCTGCCACCCCCATCCCCAAGAGGGGAATCTTCCCTATCCTATTCCTGTCGCAACTTGCCCCTCTCCCCTACTGACCAGCACCCATCTGCAGGGCAGGGGTCCGACTGGGGTCCGGGGAGGGACACATCACGCCAGCATCAGTCCAAACCGCTGGACTCTCATACTCTTCAAAATAACATGAATATGACTCATCTGGTCGTAGGACAGGCAGATCTGAGATTGACAGGAATATCTGCCAATCAAAGGCAGGACAAGCACATCAGGCTATGCATATAGGAGGGAGGACCGCACCCTGTGCATGCACACACACACACACACACACACACACACAACACACAACACACACACAAACACACACCCCTATCCGAGAGACTCAAAGCTCCACACGTATTCTACTCCTCCAAGACTAGGGAGATACACAGAAGGAAGGGGCCTCATGAGCCCCACAAATGTCCTCCATGGTATTCCCACAATTACTCCCCAAGAAGCCTGTCACAAACAGCTCCTCATAAAACCCTCCCACAGACACTCCCCACACTTCCTCATGGAGTGTCCCCATACGTCACCAATGACCCGCCAGATATCCCTCCAGCAAGAGGTCTCCATCATCTCCTCCAAGAAAATCACCCAACTCCATGGAGTTCCCTATAAATACTCCCCACAGAGCCTCCTACATTTACCAACCCATAGAGTACTACCACAGACACCATCCATAGAGCTCCCCCTACCAGAATATGCCTCACCACAGGGTTCCCCAAGATACCTATCATGGAAGACCCTTCAACATATCCCACATGGAAAACACCACTTCACTCATCCTTATACCTCATGAAACTCCTCTAGCATAGTCCCCACATGATTATCCCCTGCAGAGCCTTCTACTATATGCCTCCCTCCAAAAGAGAAAATTATCCCAGAAAAGCCCTCATGGAATGCTCTGCAGACACTCCCTACCCCACCACAGAGCTCTCCAAAGAGACCCGGCCTATGGAGTCTCTCCCTCGGCCCCTCTCTTCATGGAGCCCTTCCCCTGTACACATCTTCTGGAGCCCTCAGAGACCACCCCCACCCGCGTCTCTTGAGGGCTTACATTTCTCTTCTCCTCCCTGCTAACGTTGGCAGGACTCACAGACTGGATTCGTAGACACTTAGGCTCAGGACTGAAGCTCCACAGCCAGGGCTCTGGGCCCCGGCCTCGGGAGCACTCAGAACGTCGGCTGCACCTAGACCAGACAGAGGAAGCACAGAGGGTCACAGAGCATCCACCAGCCAACAGGGGTCATGGAGAGGAAAGCAATCACTCCCTAAGTGCCTTCAGCTAGGGATAAGGATCACAAAGGGTCTCCAGAGGGCTCCAAAGGGCGAGGGGCCTCCAGGCATCACAGCAGTGAAAGGATCTCCTCCAGCTGACCCCACAAGGACTTGACTGTCCGAGGCACATTTCTACCTCAGCCTCCTGGGGATGGGGCCTCGGGTGTTTGAGCACATGTCCCAAACCCACATATTAGGGCATCTCTAGCATCGGCAGAGTAATCTTCAGGGGCCATAGAAAGGTATCTATCTGAGCATCATCAGAGGGATCCCTGGAGTTCACAGAAGAACTTCCAAGGGTCAGGGACCCTTAGTGTCTGAGAGGGACTTCCCCCATCCCACTCCCATACACATTAGCAATCCACAAGGGTCAGAGGGCCAAGGCACTGACCGTCCAAGAAGAACACACCACCCACAGTAGGGGTCCTTGGGGGCCAGACACGATGTGCAGTTCAAATGCTGAGAGCAGGAGGCCACTGGGACCCTCACTACCTGCAGAAACAAGGTGGTCACCACAAAGGAGCTCAGACACCCCAGGGAAATTCACTTTTAAGGGCCCAAATTAGCTGGAACTCTTCTTCACCCCACCCCACCCCCTATTTCAAACCCTATTCTAATAAGCCATGTTCAGGGACATAACGATTTCCATTTCAATAGCACTTAAAGGTTTAAAAAAAATGTTGCCCACTGGGCCTCCTCCCCTTCTCCATTTTATGCTCCCCACACCCAGCATCATCTTCATTATGAGTCATTCAAATCATGATCTAAATAATCACAAAAACCACTATAGCATTTTAAGGTTTGCCAAGTACTTCCTCTACCACAAACCCTGTGATGGTGGTTGGATGTGGGATATTATCCCCATTTTACAGATGAAGGATTTGGAGCCCTGACTAGTAAAGCGACTTGCCTGGAGTGGCCCAGTAAGCATCAGAGTCTGGATTCAAACTGAAGTGTCCTGACTCCAAGTCTGATGCTCTTTCCGCTACACCATATCTACTCCTTACATAAAGAAGGTCCAGTTCTACCCCCAGCCCTAGTCCCATCACTCACTGTGTTCTGAGTCATGACATACAGATGTTCCAGGGCCCAGTCAAAGATTAGGTCACTGCTCACTGCTGAGTCACTCTGGATGAGCTGAGTTGCATAAGGACGATGGTCACCTTCTGGGCCCAAGTAAACCTGGATAATCAGGGATAGCGAACAGGGTAAGGACTGTAAAGGGGTAAGCCCCAAACCCAGAGATCAGAGATCAAAGACCACCGGGGTCCAGTCTTGGGATCAGAGGTTACATGGCCCGTCCCAGGGATCAGAGCTAGTATACCCTGCCTCAGAAGCTTATAAGAATATGGGCTTGGTCCCAGGATCAGAAATCACACATTCCAGAATAGGCTCCCCAGAAAAGTACTATAGCCAAAAAAAAAAAGAGGGAGAGGGATCAGGAAACCCAAGATTTTCTTCTTTCACACAGCAATATACCCTTACTCTCCCATGGGTGTCCCCAGTCCCTGACCTCACCTTGTGCAGCTGCCCTTGGCTATCTCCCAGGAAGGCAATGGTGTGTCCATCTTCCACACTGACTGCCACAGCTGTTAACTGGACATCTGCCCACTCCACCAGGGGTATAGCCTTTAAGGGAACTCGGCTGGCCATTGGGCTGGGCGTGTGGTCTGACCCACAGGGGTAGGCATCCAGTGTATCCTTAGCAGGAGGAAGAAAGTTAGGATGGGGTCACAACTCCTACCACACTCTAGCCCAGGACCCCCAGGTGGCTCCTTCCACATGCCGGAGACAGCCTTAAACATCCCTGGGAGTGGGTAGAGTTGTTGAGGATACTAAGTATCTATAGGATGACATAACCATATTTTCTGAACCTAAAATAAAGGTATTGGTCAAACCAAAAAAATTTATATGTCCTTTATGCAAAGCTTCATGAAAAAGTGTATTTTCTCTTCTTAAAGTTGGCTCTTCTTGGAAAATCTAGGATATTGTGGTCACTGGAGCTAAAGGTTCCCACCACCACAGCCATCCCCTCAAAAACAATCCTCACCACCTCCACCCTCAACATAGTCCCCAAGTGGAAAGGAAAAGGAAAGAGAGATATTAGGACTTGAGAATGAAGAAAGAATCTCAGGGTTCCCTACCACTATCCCTGCCCCACCCCAATCTCCCACAACACAGTGAAGGTGGTACACATTACCATGGAACTCCCATGCTGCCATACTTGAGCTGGCCCCACTTTCTCCCCTAGAGACTTTGGTCCCTCCTAAGGCTCTCACTCTCACCTCTGTGCTGACATCTTCCAAATCTACATCTCCAGATCCCCCAAAAACTATCACTGAAGTTCTAGTCCCTTATTTCCAGCTAGTCACAGGCCAACATCACCTCAGACTCAAGCATGTCAAAAACCAAACTCCATCTTCCCTACCAAAACAAATCTCCCCAACTCCCTTGTCTAACCACCATTCCCTCAGTCTCAAAGACCTAAAGCTGATTTTGACTCTTCTCTTTTTCTTTATCTCCTTTATACTTCCCATTCTTCCTCCAAATGTCTCTCAGATTAGTCTCCTCCTCTCCATTTCCAAGGCCACAACCCCAGTAGAGAAAAAGGAATGTGGCATAATGACCAACCACAATTCCAGAGGACTCCTGATGAGGCATGCTGCCCACCTCCTGATAGAGAGGTAATGGACTCAGAGTGCAGAATAAGACATTTTTTAAATACGGCCAATGACAGAATTTGTTTTGCTTGACTGCATGTGTTTGTAATGGCCTTTATTTTTCTTGCTTTCTCAATGGAGAGGGGAAAGAAGATGGGGAGAGAAAGAAAGTAGACCTGAAAATAAGATAAAATTTAAATTTTTTTTTGAAAAAAAGGAAAGATGATTGTCAAGAGGAAAGGGCTTTGCCAACTGTTAACTGCCATAAAAATGATAGTTATCATCATCCTCATTATTATTATTATTATTAGTCCAGCTTCTTGACTAGTGGCTGGATTACTACGATAGCCTTCTAATTGATCTCCTTGACCTCTGGTCTCCTCCTCTCCAATCTGTCCTACTCACAGTACCAAATAAATCTTCCCTAAAACACTACTTTCCTTGCATTACTCTCCTACTCCAAAACCTATGATGGCTCCCCAGTGCCTACAGGCCCAGATTTAAACTCTTCAGTCCAATGTTCATGATCTTCCATGCTACAGTCCATACTACAGTGCTACCTAGGCCTAACCTCTCTTTCCAACACAAACACTCTTCAACCAGCTAAGTTGTTCCCCTAACCCCAACTATCCCCCTAATAGATACACCAGGCTTGTTTCTCCACATTCATTCTGTTCATGCTATTCCTATCCCCTCACCCTTGGAATGTGGAATACCGTCCCCACTCCTTTTCTACCTACACAAATCCAACACCTTCTTCAAGGTCCCAGTTCAAGCTCCACCTTCACAATGATATTTCCTCTGCCTATTCCAGCTCATACGAACATCATCCCTCTCTGAATTATTTCAGCACACATTATCGGTATCATACAACTCATCAGTTCATTATCAAGAATCTGATATCAGTCTCCATTTCAAGTGCATGTACTTTATCACCTCAGCTAGACAGTTTCTTTTGAGCAGAGACCATTTCTTTTGTACCTTCAGAACTTCTGGCACAGCACTGGGCACACAGGAAGCAATCAACAAATACATTCTCTGTTAAAACTCTCCCTCAATTCCCAACAACTTAGGAGGTCATGGGAACCTGTGATGAGTCTTAGAGACAGGAAATGGCCAGGGGATAGTAGAATCACCCATCAGAGGGGGAAAGGTACAGGGTCTGCAGGGTTACTTACAAGAGGCAGCTGGGCACAGTTGGAGTTGACATCATATTCGATGTAGGCAATCTCAGTTCCATCCTCTGCCCGTCCATCCCGTGTGTAGCAAGCATCTCGTGTTCGGTTGGCCAACTGGTCAACCTCATCTAATGGGAAAGCACAGAGTGCAGAGGCCCCAGAGACTCCAGCAGTAGGGGCACGACCAGCAGCAGAAGGGTTGACTGAAGAAAAAGCAGCAAACAGCACCTCTCTGCCATCTCCCTGGGACCCCATCCCAGGAACAGCCACAGCTGCCGCCTGGACCAGGCCATAGGGTGCCCCTCCACAAGACAGCGGAAGCTCCACATAGGAATAATAATGCTGATCACTCAGGCAGACTCGCGATAAGTAGGGACGGAAGGCTCGGGACTGGGCTTGCAGGTCTCGCCGCAAGAACAGGAAGTAGACGCTGGTTCGACGGGCAAAGGCAGCCACAAAATGGTGGCTATATTCAGACAGCCGGCCCACAGCTAGCTTGGCTGTCTCCTCATAGGAGAACGCAGCCTGTGGGTCAGAGGGACGCAGCGCCCGGGTTGTGATGGGAGGGATGCCCCCTCCGACACCCCGGCTGGTATAGCCCCGGCCTACAAACAACAGAGGCTCCCCAGCTGGACCTTGTCCCACCAGCCCCACTGTGCTGATGGCTGGATCATTGGCCGCCACATACTGAGTATCCCCTGGGCGCTCTGGACGAAGCAAGAGCTGCCCGATGTGGTCAAGGCGTCGCTGTTCACATACTCCCTGGTGTGCACTCCCACACACCACTAAGGCCCCTTCATCTCCACCAGGCCCACGGGGGCTCACCAGCAGCAGCTGGTTGGGGTTGTCCGTGGGTTGGGCCTGTGGGCACTCAAGAGGCAACACGGGGGGCAGACAGTCTCTGCTGTCCAGCACAGGCCCTGTGGACACCGTGGCCTCAAGCGTGAGCTCTGAATTCAGTTGGAACAAGAAGTTGGTGGCCCCCAAATAGAGGGTCCCTGAGCTTGGGTCCCTGACCAGATGCTGAAGGCGAGTGTTGTTGGGGATGAAAGAGATGAGAGTGGACTGTTGCATCACAGAGGCTGGAGCACACACAGCCCAGAGCAGCTGCAGAAGAGCTGAGCCAAGGATAAGCATGGTCACCTGAGAGGAGTAAAATATGAAAGACAGACAGACAGAGAAGAAGGAGAGAGGGGAGGCAGATAGGAAGAAGAAGAGAGAGAGATCAATTAGTCTGGATAAGGAGGCCTATGGGGAAAGGGCCTAGGTCTAAGCCCTCTACTTGGGCCCTGATTTCACCTTTCCCAGGTCTTTCTCACTGATCACACCCACTTATTCATTTTCAATCTCTCCCTAATCTCATTTCATTCCCTTCTGCCATCCTGAATCTCTCTTTCCTTTTACTAGCAAACCCCTACAAAGGGATATTTATAAGCACTGTTACCTCAGCTTTCTCCTCACCCTCTCCCTTCTCAGTGCCTTAAAATCTGGCTTCCAACCCCATCACTCTACTGAATCTGCTCTCTCAAAGAGATCTACTAACTGCTAAGTCCATTGGCCTTTTCTCAGTCCTCATCCTCTTCCATTTCTCTGCAGCTTTTCCAAGATACTCTCCCCTCCCTTAGCTTCTCTCTCTCCTGGTCCTCTTCCTAACTGTCTGACCACTTCTCAGTCTCCTTTACTGGACCATCAGCAATCTCCTTTCCCCTAAACATGTGTCTCTCAAAGCTCACTCCTGGACCCTTTTCTTTATACTCCCTTCCTTGGTGACCTCATCCACTTCCATGGATTCAATTATCATCTCTATGCAGATGCAATTATCCTCTCTAGGAGTCCATCTGTTGCTTAGAGACCTTCTCTAGCTTTTCAACCAGAATCTTTCATCACTGAGTCAAATCTATAAATCCAGCCTTCATTTCTCTCCTGAACTCCAGGCCTGCAAATTGCCTGCTGGACATTTCTACTTGGATCACTGACTGCCATCTCAAGTTGAACACAAACGAATGAATAAAAAGTATTTTTAAGCCCCTGCTATGTGCCAAGCAATGTGCTAAACCCTGGGGATACAAATACAAAAGCAAAGGCAGACCCTGCCCTCAAGGAGCTTATACTCTGATAGGAGAAACTGCACACATAGAAGAGTATAGTAGTCAAAGAGGAGCCACTACTGGTCTGGATACAGGGATGGTCATTGTGGCCATAGAGAAGTATGCTGACATACCCATCTAAAAACAATGGCAGAGTTGATCACACTTCATGGTGCCCTGAACACCCAAACCAAATTTCCTTATTTCTGCTGAGCACCACCATTCTTCCAGTCACCCAGCTTCATAACCTCATATTCTTCCTTAACTCTCTCCTCTCCTTTACCCCTAGACACAATCAACTGCCAAGTCCTATTGATTTTACCATGACTCTTATATACATTTCCTTTTTTCTCTATTCACATAGGCATCACCCTAATTCATATCCTCATCACTTCATGCCCAAGCTACCATCTCCGGTCCCTCCCTTCTCCAATCCATCCTTGACAAAAATCTTCTAAAGTCACCCAAAGGACCATTTTACTCCCCAATTCAAAAACCTCCAGTGGTTGCCTATGGCCCCTCTTAGAAAAAAATATGAATTCCTCTGCCTGGCTGCTAAATCTTGTCATTTCTACCTTCATAACATCTCTTACATACATCCCCTTCACACCATTCACAAAGCCTTGACTCTAGTTCAGGCCTTTATCACCTCTCATCAAGATTACTGCCTTAAGTCTCTCCCTACTCCAAGCCCTCCTCCACTCAACTGCCAAAGTGATTTTTTCTAAAGAGTAGGTCTGACCATGTCACCACCATCCCTGCACACAGGGCCCCAATGGCTTTTGCCTCCAGAAATAAATATAAACTCCTCGGTTTGGCATTTAAATTTCTTCATAACCAGGTCCCTTTCTGCCTTACCAGACGTCTTATGCCTTACTTCCCCTCCATGAATTTGATGACCCATCTATACTGAACTACTTACAATTCTTCCAACAGGACATTCCATCTCCCATATCCATGGCTTTTCACTGGCTGCCCCATGCCCATATTGCTCTGCCTCTGTGCCTTGACTTCCTTTGAGACTCGGCTCTAATTCCCCCGCTGTGTTGGGAGGCTTTCCTGGTTCCCCCAGCTGTTATTATCTTCTTTCAGATTACTTTCATATACAATGCATAACTTTTGTATGTACCTAGATACAGATAAGTTGTTTCACCCATTAAAATGAAGGCTCCTTGAGGGACAGGGGATTTTTGACCTTTCTTTGTTATCTCCAGTGCCTAGCACATAGTAAGTGGTTCATAAATGCTTGTGGTCCAACTGACTGGCTTAAGGCCCTCCAGAGATAGCTAGAACCTACCTTTCTATCCTCATATACTATTACTCTCCTTCATGCCCTTGATCAGTGGGGCTAGACTTTAAGCTGCTGCCCATCTCAACATTCCTGTGCTCTCGGGCAAGCTGTTCCCCATGCCTGGAATGGACTCCTCCCTCATCTCTACCCTTTGGCATCCATATCTTCCTTCCAAGCTTCAGTTAGGTACCATCACATCTGCGAAAGTCTTCCCAGTTGCTTGTGTTCTCAACACCTTCAGATTGCTTTGCCATGTACAGGTTGCTTCCCCCAAACACACAAAAACAAGCCGTAAACTTGAGGAGAGGCACTGTCTACTTTTTGTCTTAGAATATTCATGGCCTGCCTACCACAGTGGCATGATGTTATACATCTTGTCATTCCGTCATTTCAGTCATGTCTGATTCTTCATGACCCCATTTGGGGTTTTCCTGGCAAAGATACTGGAGTGGTTGGCCATTTCCTTCTCTTGTTCATGTATACAGATGAGGAAACTGAAGTAAACAAGGTTCAGTGACTTGCCTAGGATCACACAGCTGGTGTCCAAAGTCAGATTTGAATTTAGGAAAATGAGTCTTCCTGACTTGTGGCTTGACACTCTATCCATTGCACCACTAGCTGCCCCCTATACATCTAGCAGACCCTTAAAAAAGTTAATTGAATTGAATAAGTAAGTAAGAACAGGGGCAAGGCCATAGGGATGTACTCACTAGAGAAGAAGGAGAGAAAAAAAAATCAGGATCCTTGTGATCAGCTGTCTGGGTTTAGAATTAGATAAGTTAATAAGTCATGGCCAGAAGCCCAGGGTCTCCCCTGACATGTCCAAGTATATGGAGAATGAAAGGACACCCCAAAAGCAACGGAGAACTAGAGTTGGAGGTGGGAGGGAAGTTCAGAGTAGGTGTCAAATCATGGTCAGAAGCCTGAGACTTCCCAGAGCCCAAGAATGTGGAGAATTCAAGGACATCTAGAGAGGAAAGGAAGGCTGAAGAGTGGGAGATAAGAAGAGGGGAGGAGGGAAGAAGGAGGAAATGTTTTAGTCTGAGAAAAGTTAGAGATTATTGGAAGATTGTCTTCCTCTTGACAAGGGACTTAGAGAAGATGAATATTCTAACTCAGGTCAAAACAAGAAGAAAATGACATTAAGGTGATGTACTAAGATTCAGAATGAAACATGAACTTATAGACATGGCCAATGTGGGAATTTATTTTGCTTGACTATGCTTATTTGCTACAAGAGGTTTGGTTTGATGTCATTTCATCTTGTTTTCAGGGAAAGGGAGGTGAGAGGACTCAATACTAGGAATACTAATATTGGGATACAAGAATTCCTGAAAAAGTAGGAATTTAGGTTACACAGAAGGAAGAACTAGTGAGAGATAAGGGTAGCAAATGTTACTAAAAATAGGTAACCAAACCAAGCCCTTTATTGGAAACTTATCAAACCAAAGGGACTCCGCCACAAGTTTGTATGGTCATCCTGCCTGGAGGCAGAGGATGGAAAGATGACCCCAAGGAACTTCTACAATCAGAACCTTGGATCCTTACTCCCAGTACTGGCCTACCCCTTCCCTTCTCTAGGTTAGGAGGCAGGAGATGGGAGGCAGAGGAAGCCCTGACAGAAGCACCAGAGAAACACTTCACCCTCCTTCCCCCCGAAGGAGCAGGAAAGCAAACAACAAAAACAACCAGGACCCACATCAGGGCACCAGGAGGTGTGGAACAGGATAAAACGCATGAAGAGGCTCAGAGAAGAGGGCAGGGGAGGAGAGGGGAGGGAGAGGCATCCTACCCCCAGCCTTCCCACAACTTGACATGTTTCCTGGACAGAGGGACAAGGATGTGGACATGTTGTATCCGGCCCAGCTGTGGCAGAGGCTGAACAGGAGGGAGGGGGGAGGGAGGGGGACAGGCGGAGCTTAGTCTGGTTAACCATGACCAGTGACCCAGTGTGGGAAAGTAAATAATCACAGGTCCTGAAGACTATCAGTTGGATCAATGGATAGAGATTTGATCAAAGAGAACAATGCAGGCTTAGGGGTAGTAGGAATAGACCACTGTCAGATGGAGAGGGAAGCAGAAAAGAGGGAGAGCTGGCAAAGGAATGAACCTGCTGAGCTCAGGAAGGCAGGCCAATGATTTAGTGACAGATGATGGAACATTTGGGGGCCTAGAGCTTAGTAGTGCCAGAACTTTGGTGAAGTACATAAAGTCCCCATAAACACTGCCTCTCACTTTTCCCAGGAGACACGATTTCCCCTCTCCTCTGAGGAAAACCACAATCCTGACTCCCCCTCTGGCAATACCAGCTCCTAGCTCCCCCAGGGAACACCAGCTTCCCCAGAGAACACCAGCACCCAACTCCCCCAGTGAACAGCAGCTCCCACCAAGAATACTACTCTCCCTGTTCCCCCAAAGTATACTACTCTTCCTTTTCCCCCAGGTACACATTACCTTCTTCATCTCCCCCTTAGCTCCCAGTTCCCCTAGAGAACACTAAGACCAGCTCTCTAAGTGGAACACACACCCTCAGATCTCCCAGGGGACTGCTACCCTTCCAGCTCCCCTCAGGATACATGACCTCTGGCTCTCACAGCAGACAAATACAGGTCTAGGGAGTTCTGCCTCTGGGCTCCACTAACTCAGACCCTCTACATAAAGTCAAGTGCAGCCATGGGCTGGACTTACCTGGTACAGCAGGCAAAGCAAGCAAACAGCAGCATGGCCAGTATGGATCAGGTCACCTGGGCTGAAGAAAGAACACATAATGAGTCTGAAAAGCTGAGGTTACAACACCACTCCCTGCCAGTGTCAGCAAGGATGGAGAAGACGCTTGAAGGTTATCCCAACACCGCACATGGGAGGGAGGGAGCAGGGCCACCCCACCCCTAGTAAGGTCATTATGGTTCACAGGAGGCTGTGCTCAGGCCTTCCCCTCACTGTCCCCACAGAGGGCTGAGAGGCTGCGAAGTTAGCTTGGAGGACTGCCACTACACACATTCCAATGAGGTGGGGGTGGGGGAGGGGAGCAGGGTACTAGCATTCCAGAGTAGGCTACTGCAACCCTCCCAGGACTCCAGGACTGCCTCCCCTCTCCCCACACCTACCAGGCAAGAGAACCATGGAATTACAGAGTTCTCAATTTCCCTACACTCTCCTCCATTGCCCCCAAAGGAACCTTTACAGGGCCCTGGGGGCAGATACTTGGGGCATCTCTAGGGGAGAAAGCCCAAGGTAAATTAATCAAAAATAGAGAAGGAGGCAGGTTTCAACCCAGTATGGGTTCTGGGATTAAGAGATGCCCTAGTCCAGGAGCTCTTAACATTTTCTGTGCCCTGGACCCCTGACCTGGGTGAAGCCCTCCTCAGAATAATGTTTTTGCAAAAGTTAAAAAAAAAAACATTAAATTTCAGTTAGATGTTAATGAAAATAAAGATGTAAATTTTTTCCCCATCCAAGTTCAGACTATGGAGCCATGGTTAAGAATCCCAGCCCTAATAAGTCTAAGTCTGTGGTCTGGACTGTGGGGTGGAGAGAGGGGTGGAGGGGAAACTAAACCCCACAGAGAAGACAGAACCAGGAAATAGTTCTATAGCCTTGGCAAGCTATAAAAAGGGAAAGCAGGGAATTAGAACAGGTGATCAGAGAGAAGGAGTCTGGGAATAGGAACACCAGGAGGCTAGCTAGGGGCTTGGTATGCCAGCCCCATGCCATCAGGGTGAGCCCTCAGTTTTCAAGTCCCATGGCATCCCAACCATGGCTACAAGATACTGACAAGGGCAATGACCTTCGAGCTTCGAGCTAGCCTCCCTTCTCCCTAGTTTCTGCCTCCTACAATCTAGCCTGCATATCTGTGGCGGTTTCATTAATACTCCTAAAGTATCGCTTTCACCACACTATGTCTCAGACTCAAATGCCTTCAGCTGCTACCTGTTACCAATCATATCAAATCTAATTTCTTCTGCATGATTTTCACAGCCTCAACAGACTATACCCACGATCTCTCACCACTTCTTCTCCCCAGCCATGCTGTTCTTCTCATCTACCATTCAATACAGCACACTCATATGTAGCTTTTCTCTTCTCAGAATGCTTACTGCTTTAAAAGACTGAGCCATTCTAAGACTTTTATCTGTTCAACAAACATTTATTAAATGACTATTATGTGCAGAGACTTCTATTGGACCTTAGCTGAAACATAAAGCTTAGATAAGAGAGAATCCCTGTACTCCTAAATCCATCAATAAAGGACCCCAAGGGAATGGCTGAACAAGTTGTGGCAAATGATTGTGATGAAATACTATTGTGCTATAAGAATTGACAAGCAGGATGGTTTCAGAAAAACCTGGAAAAACTTAGATGAACTGATGCAAAGTGAAATGAACAGAACCAGGAGAACATTGAGCACAGTAACAGGAATATTGTGCAATGATCAGCTTGAATGACTTAGCTATTCTCAGCAATACAATGGTCCAAGACAATTCCAAAGGACTTATGAAAAATGTTATCCACCTCTAGAGAAAGAACTGATAAACTCTGAATGCAGATCAAAGCATACTGGGGGTAAAAAAAGAATACTGGGTTTTTTTTTTACTCTTATTTCTTGGTCTGGGAGGGAAGGGGTCTCTATTTTCTTTTATAATGTGGCTAAAAATGTTTTACATGACTGCACGTGTATAATCAATATCATATTGCCTGCCTTTTCAAGGAGGGAGGGAGAGAATTTGGAACTCAGAATTTTACAAAATGAATGTTTAAAAACTGTTTACTTGTAATTAGAAAAAATAAAACAAAGGACCCCAAGCAAAGTCTGGATAACAATCTGCCAAGGAAATCAAATAGGAGATTCCTTATCAGGTAGGATAGGGATTATGGATTAGATTATTTCTGTTTTCTCTTCCAACTTTGAGAATTTATGATTCTATGACAAAATATTTTATGAAAAGTATACTAGAAAGTTCAAAACCTAGCACTCTAATCATAGCTGACTTTAAAAAGGAATATGAATAAATGATTCTCAAAAGAATTTTGTATTATTAACAACCATTTGAAACACTGCTCCAAATCACTATTAAGAGAAATGCAAATCAAAACAACTCAGATTTCACTTCACAACCAACATATCAGCAAACACGACAAAAGATAGCAATAATCAAGATCGAAGGGTTGTGGAAAGACAGGCACACTGACATACTCTTGATAAAGCTGTGAATTGGTTCAACCATTCTAGGTAGCAATTTGGAATTATATGAATAAAAAAAAGTGATTAAATTATCTGTGCCCTCTGACCCAGAGGTCCTACTAAAAGGCATATGCCCCAGGAGGTCAAAGATAGAAAAAAAAATCCAATACACCAAAATAATTGTAGCAGTACTTTTGTATTAGCAAAGAACTGGAAACAAAGAGGTGTTTATCAATAAACTGTGGTACAGGAATGTAATGAAATATTACTGTGTGTGGGGGCAGCTAGAAGGCACAGTGGATAGAGCACCGGCCCTAGAGTCAGAAGAACCTGAGTTCAAATCTGGCCTCAGACACTTGACACTTACTAGCAGTGTGACCCTGGGCAAGTCACTTAACCCCAATTGCCTAGCCAAAAAAAAAAAAAAAAAGAAATATTACCATGCTAATGAAAACTACAAATATGAACACAGAAGAGCATAGAAAGATATATAAACTGAAAAGTGAATAAGCCGTGAAGTGAAGAAAGTGAAGAAAAACAATCCTACTACAATGTACATATAAGCAACAATAACAACAAAACTGAACACTGTGTAAGTATAAGACCAAGCCTGGCCCCTAAAGGAGATATAAGAATGCACTTTGCTCCATTCTTTGCATGAGTGGGAGTCTATGGTGGTAGAACACAGCATACTCTGACAGGCTTGACTTACATGCCAGTTAATACTGTTTAACTTCATGGTTCTCTTTTTAATTCTTTGTTCCAGAGATGCTTCTCCGGATTAGGGGAGAGTAGAAGAGTATGGGAAATGAAGGTGATATGAAAACAAACATTAACAATATTTTTAAATAGTAGTTTACATTAATAGAACACTTCAAAGTTTGCCAAATGCTTTGTCTCATTTGGTCCTCCTAACAATCCTGGGAGGTAAGTACTACGATATTATTATTCCCCATTCTAGACATGAGTACACTACAATTCTGAGAGGTTAAAAACCTAGAGTTGAGTCTACAGTCACCCAACTAGTAAGCATGATAGGCAAGATTCAAGCCCAGGCCTCTGTGACTCCTAAACCTGCAGCTTCTTCCCATTACACCACAATGCCTCTTAGGTATGCGATGCCCCAGGGGGAAGCTCATTGCCAGCAAGCAACAGGGAATGTTTCATTAAGCATCTGAGTTTGGCTTTGAAGACTGGGTAGAAATCTGGCAGGGGAACAGAGAGGATATTCTAGGCATGGGGAATGGTTTGAACAAAGGTACACAGGTAAGGAAGTAGAGGGTATGCTCAGAAGAAAGATACTGGCACAGTTGGTCTGAAGCAAAGAAGATACTGAGGCAAGAAATATATAAGATAAGGCTGGAAAAAGAGAGTGGCTCTAGGTTGTAGGTGGCCTTGAATGTCAGACAAGACTCTTGTGATTTACTTGGCAAGCCCCAAGAAGTCACTGAAGAGTTTTGAACAAAGGAAAGACATAACAGAACTTGGCACCTAGTAGGCACTTAATAAACTTTTGTTAAATTGAATTCAATGACCAGACCTATTCCAAAGGTAAGGCATTATGGTCATAGTGAGAAGGATGGATTGGAGGATGAAGGGAGAAGTGGGGAAGGGGCCCTTAGAAGGCATTTCAATGATCCAAACATTTTGGAGAACAATTTGGAACTACGCCCAAAGGGCTACAAAAATGTGCATACCCTTTGATCCGGCAATAGCACTTCTGGGGCTATATCCCAAAGAGATCAAACAAATGGGAAAAAGACCCACATGTACAAAAATATTCATAGCAGCTCTTTTTGTGGGGGCAAAGAATTGGAAATTGAGTGGATGCCCATCAATTGGGGAATGGCTGAGCAAGTTGTGGTATATGAATGTAATGGAATACTATTGTGCTATAAGAAATGATGAACAGGCTGACTTCAGAAAAACCTGGAAAGACTCATATGGTCTGATACTAAGTGAAGTGAGCAGAACCAAGAGGACTTTGTACACAATAACAGCCATGTTATGCAATGACTAATATTGTTAAACTGAACCCTTCTCAGCATTACAAGGATCTAAGACATCTCCAGAGGCCTCGGGATGGAAAATGCTGTCCACATCCAAAGAAAGAACTATGGAAGTCGAATTGCTATCACTTATTTTTACCTTCTGTTGAGTTTTGTTTCATCTTTCTGAGGGCTCCTCCTATTGGTTTTAATTTTTACTTACAATTTCACTAATGTGAAAATATGTTTAATGGGTATGTAAATGTAAAACCTATATCAGATTGTGTGCTGTCTTGCAGAGGGTGGGGGGAGGAAAGGGGAGAAAAATTTTCAACTCAAAAGCATATGGAAGTGATTGTTGATAAATCAAAATAGATTAATAAAATTTTTTTTAAAAAGAAGGCATTTCAAATACCATTCCTCAGCCTTTTCCCCCAAAAAAACCAAAGAAAGAGGAAAAGGATCCACATGTACAAAAATATTTATAGCGCTCTTTTTTTATGGTGGCAAAGAATTGGAAATTAAGGAGATGCCAATCAATTGAGTAATGGCTAAACAAATTATGGTATATACACATAATGGAAAACTATTTTGCTATAAGAAATGATGAAAAGGATAGATTCAGAGAAACCTTGGATACCTTGTATGGACTGATGTGAGCATAACCAGAACAATTTATACAATGACAACATCATAAAAACAAACAAACTTTTAAAAGACTTAAGAACTCTAATTAACACAGTGACTAATCACAATTCCAGAGGATCAATGATGAATCATACTACCTACCCCCTGATGGAGAGGTGATGAACTCAGGGTGCTAAATGAGACGCATATTTTTTGGACAAGGCCAATATAGGAATTTGTTTTTCTTAACTATGTATATTTGTTCCAAAGGTTTTGTTTTTCTTTTTTTTAAATAGAGTGAGAGAAAATGGATTTCTATTAATTAAAATAATTAAGTTAGAAAGAAGGTCCAGGTGGATAGTAATATGACCTGTACTAAGGTGATGGCAAAGCGAGAAGAGAGGATGGATGGAGGCAAGAGAATGTGTAAAACTGGGCTATACTCAACAGTACCCAATAGGAAATGAGAGGTGAGAGGGAACAGCTATGGTTTTGACTGAGTGAATGATCAGGCCACTCACAGAAACTGTTAAAACAAAAGGAGGAACAAAGTTAGTATGAAAGACAATAAGTTTGCTTTGGGACCTGTCAAGTTACAGGTTCATGTCATATTTCCAGGAGGAGGTGTCCCATAGGAAGTTAGAGATGTGGATCTGGAACACAGAATTGGAGAGTGAGAGAAATTCTGGGGTCATCTACATAAAGGTAATAGTTTTCTATAGTGATATATAGATATATAGTGAGATGCATATATGTATTTATGTGTGTGTATGTGTATGTATATATACATACATATATATACATATAAAAAACACAACAATGCCATACTTGTCTATGTCCCTTTCTGACCTGCCTTATGTTCTCTTCTTTGTATCTTTATCTCACTGATGCTCTTTTTTCTTTCTTTGCATCACTATCACAACCCTCCCCCCTCACAACTCTGCCCTGCCAAATAAAAACCTCCCTAATAATAAATAAAGTCAAGAAAAAGAATTTTGCATTGCATTGGGTCTGAAAATGCATGTCTTGCTTTGCATCTACAACCTGTCACATAAAAAAAAAAGAAGGAAGCACACTTTGTGCTCAGCCTTCTAGAGCAGAGATTGGTTCATTGATCAGTTGCTCATTTACTTGCCTTTATAATGTTGTGTTATTTTTATAAATCGTTCTCCTAGTTCTGCTTACTTCACTCTGCATCAGTTCATACAAGTCTCCCTTGGTTTCTCTGAAACTTTTCATCCCTCATGGCACAATAATTTGCTCTAACTCATTCAACCATTCCCCAGTGAGTTTTTATCCACTTTGTTTCCAGTTGTGTGCTGAAAAAAAAGGGTCACTATAAATACTTTTTGTGCACAGCGGTCTTTTCCCTCTGTCTTTGATCTCTCTAATGTTTATAGCTAATCATTGGGTGGCTAAGTGGTGCAAAAGTGCCAGGAAAGTCAGGAAGACTAGCCTTCTGAGTTCAAATCTGGCCTCAAACATTTACTAGCTGTGTGACCCTGCACAAATCATTTAACTCTGTTTGCCTCAGTTTCCTGGAGAAGAAAAAGGCAAGCCACTCCAGTATCTTTGCCAAGAAAACCCAAATGGGGTCACAAAGAGTCAGACACAACTGAAACAAGTGAACAACAGCAATCACTAGGTCAGAATATGAACAATTTAGTAACTTTTGGGTTATTGTTCCAAATTACTTTCCAGAATGGTTTTACCAGTTTACAGCTCCACCAACAGTACATTAATGGGCTTATCCTCCCAAAGCCTCTCTAACAATTGTTGTTTTCCTTTTGGTAATCATTCCCAAACTGATAGACATATGAAGTAGCACTTCAGTTTTAATTTGCAATTCTCTTATTATTAGTGATTTGAAGTATTTTTACATATGGTTATTGATAGCTTAGATTTCTCCTTTGAGAACTGCTTGCTCAAATCTTTTGGCCAATATATCCATTAAAGAATGGCAGGTAGATAGATAGATAGATAGATAGATAGATAGATAGATAGATAGATAGATAGATAGATCTTGGATATTAACCTTTACCAGAGAAATTTGGTGCAAACATTTTTTCAAGTTGTTTTTCTTCTAATTCTCACTGCACTGTTTTTGTCTGTGTACAAACTTTTCAATTTTATGGAAACAAAAACTGTACAGCTTATCTCCTTTCATCCTTGCTCTCTTGTTTGGTCAATTCTTCCTTATCCATAGTTGTGAAAAGCATCTCCTTCATTCTCATCTAATTTATTATATGACTCATACATGGGTCATGGAAGCCACTGAAAGCTTATTGTGGAATATGGCATCATATAGAAGCCTAATTTCGCCCATGCCTTCCAATTTTTTTAGCACTTTTTGTCAAATAATGAATTCTAACCTAGCAGTTTGTATCCCTGGGATTACCAAACACTATACTGTTGTGTTCAGTTGTTTCTGATCTTGTGTACCTAACCTGTTCCACTGATCAACTCTCTTTTTTAACCACCACAAAATCATTTTGCTGATTTACTGCTCTATAATTTACTTTGAGGTCTGGAACTGCTGGGCCTCCTTCCTTCCCACTTTCTTCATTATTTCCCTTAGAATTCTTGACCTTTTGTTCCTCCTTTTGTTGTAATTTTGTTTACTTCAATAAAGTAATCCTTGGGTAGTCTAATTGGTATGGCACTGAGTCAGTAAATTAATTTAGGTAGTATTGTCATTTTTATTACATAAGCAGTGCCCAACCATGAACAATTAATTCCTCTCCAATTATTTAAGTCTTCCTTTAGTTCTGTAAAGAGTGCTTTGTAGTTGTATTCCTATAATTCCTGTGCATAGAGGTGATAGGTGAAACTATAGAAATGAATGACATGGTCAGGGTAAAGAATATTGAAAGAAAGATGGTCAAGAACAAAATCTAGATGAGAATTAAGATGAGGCTAAGAAGAAGACAGAAGAAAAGATTAGAGAAATAGCAGCATTATGCTGGAGATTTAGGTGTCTTTCCAGCCAAGGGAGAAGAGTACCCATTAGGACAGTGTGGTTAACAATGCCAAAGGCTGAGAAAAGGCTTTTTATTTGATTTGGGAATTGGAAGCCATCGGTGACTTTAGAGAGGCAATTTCAGTAGTATGGTAGAAGTAGAAACCAGAGGAAGAGAGGGTGAACACTGGGCACAAAGTTTTTTAAGTTTCATAGTGAAGGGGAAAATAAGAGATAGGGCAGATAGTAGCTGAATGGCAGAAGAAACAAAAAGAATTTTTTTAAAGAATTGGGGAGATCTAGGCATGCCTGCAGATAGCTAGGAACCAGTAGAAAGGGAGAAACTGAAGATGGATAAAATAGAAGGGATGGCTACTACAACAAGATCCTAAGAGGTAGGTTGAAATGGGATTGGGGGTACAACCCTAACAAGAAATAGAGATACTTTTTCAGGGAAAGAGGAATGGATGATGATGTGGGAAAATGTTGAGAAATGGAAGAAGGAATCCAGTCTTCAGTAAACTTCTTAAGTAAACAGATATACCACTTGATATAAGGGGAGATGAGGAAGGTGAGTAGAGAAAAAATGGTCTGGAACCATCACTGAGGAAATGAGATAGGGCATTGAGTAGAAGGATCAACTTTTTCCAACCTGCCCATCCTCTCCCCCTCCCCTAAGCCACCTCCACATACACACATACCCAAGAGGAAATAGTTATTTAAATATTGGAGCTGGTCATGGGGCAGAACTACTCCCAATTGATGATTGGAAGGTGAGAATACTCAACCATGACTCACTACTCTATAAGCAGCTAAGACCCAGTCTCAGGCCCCTTTGACCACCAAGATCAAGCCCTACCCCTCCAATTCCCACTTTTCCCTTCTCTTTCAGGAAATGATACTCAAATTAACAGTACTATTGCCACTGGGAGTGATATGACTATCTCTTGCCCTATGGTTCCACTCAACATCCCCATAATTTAGTCATAGACTGCCTAGACAAAAGCATGCTTTCTCTACTACCATTTTCTGACCCCTCTTATGCAATCATGTTATTCCTATCCCTCCCTACCCCACTCCACCCTCCCCTTCCTTTCTTATTGAAACCCTTCCTCTCACACTCCTTCCACCCTCTTGCAATCAAGGAAACCTTGCTCCTTCCAAAAGACACTGCAATCCTGGCTAATGTGTCCAGTAGTATATGTTGCTTCACTCCTGCCCCACAAAACAGCCAAGAAGAGTAAGCAGAGTTCTCAGTCCTCATTGCCACTTCCAGACCGCCCCCTCCCTATTGCTCTGCCACCATCATTCAGCATCATCTCCTTTGAGGTTCACTACATCCAGATTTATCACCCTCTCCAGATCCTAGTGGATGTTCTGTAATGATTCCCAGATCATTCTCGCTCCTTTCTCAAGAAGTACACCTGGCTCACAGTCTTCTCTCCACCCCAACCCCTGCTTTTATAGCTAGCAACTTCAGTTTACATATTGCTGTCCCTTCACTGACTCTTGCTTCCCAGTTCTTCAACTCTTTATGTCCATTGGTCTGCACTTTTATTCTACTTAGCCACACACAGGGGACAAGTAGTCCACTTCCACTATGCATAGCCCTGAAATTATCTGAGCATAACCTCCAATCCTTCTGTCTCTCCCTATGCCTCACCCCTCACCCATGTTCTGTCCTCATCAGAACCTCCAGCTATTCCACTGTCCGCTGCTCTCCCAGTTCATTTTGTCTCCTCTGGCTTCACTTGTCTGCCTTCAAAATCTTAGCCCTATAGTTAACAAATTGAACTTTGCACCCTGACCTCTAGCCTTGAGTCCCTTGTCCTCTTGTCCTAGCAGTGTCCCCACATCCCTTTTCAGATTCCAACTCTGACTTACCCCCAATCCACCTTCTCCACTCCTACTTATGTGCTGTTGAATGATGAAACTGGTCATATTATTTTGCTGCCTCAGTCCATTGCTAATTTATGTTATATAATCTCAGCTGGACCCTCACTGCTGCATGACAAACTTTCACCTTTCCATGACTGACTTCCCACAGGGTGTGTTCTAAAACAGTGGTGTCAAACTTAGAAAATCACAAATTAACATTATCTATGTTGTATTGTATTTTTATTTGTTTGGTTAAACATTTCCCAATTATGTTTTAATTTGGTTTCAGTCTTACTAGGGAGTTTTGGGAGCAGGGAGTTTAACATCTCTATTCCAAACCTCTCAGAACTGTGCATTATACTTGACTGGAAAAACTGAGCTTCCTCTGGTCTTCAATTCTACACTTCATCACTCACTATATTAACGTAAACTCCAGGGACATCCTATTACGTTCAGAATCAAATATAAAATCCTGTTTGGCTTTTAAAGCCCTTCATAATCTGGTCCCTTCCTATTTTTCCAGTCTTCTTAGATCTTATTTCCTCCCACGCCCCTCCATACCCTGCGATCTAATGACATTGGCCTTCTTCCTGTTCCCTGAACTAGACACTCCATCTCCCTCCTCCAGGCATTTTCACTGGCTGTCCCCCATGTCTACAACTCTATCCTTCCTCTTCTTTACCTCTTGGCTTCCTTTGCATCTCATCTAAAGTCCATAGAAATAGATGTATATGTAGAAGAGAGAGGGAAGAAGAGAGAGAGAATATCTGTCTGTTCAAACAAGATATATGCATAGGTAGAGATATATCATTTGTACAGAGCTGTTGTTATATGGTCTCACCCATTGGATTGTGAGTTCCTTGAAAGCAGAGACTGTTTTTTGCTTTTCTTCATATCCCCAATACTTAGTACAGTGTCTGGTACATAGTAGGTTCTTAATAAATATTGACAGGCATAATCCTTCATTCCTCTATTGTTCATCCTCAAAGAAGAAATTGCCCTTCTGTTTACTAGGTTCTAGCTTTTCTATTTCTGCCCTTGATCCCATCCCATCAAGCAACTCGATCCTTCAATCATCTCCCCTCTCTCCCTAATTTTCAATCTCTCCTTATTCACTAGTTCCTTCCCTACTGTCTACAAACAGGCTCAATCTCCCAAAAACTTCACTGTTGTAGATCTCGTCACCCTTTCACAGCCAAACTCTTAGAAAAAAAATCTACGTAAATTTATTGTCTCCACTGTCTCACCTGCCACTCACTCACTCAACCTTTTTAATCTGGCTTCTGACCTCACCATTCAACTAAAACTGCTCTCTCCTATATGAACTAATGCAGAGTAAAGGAAGGAGAATGCGAAAAATTATATACACGATGACCATAATAATGTACTTGAAAAGAACAAAAAAAATTAAACCATACTTTATAATTATTATAAGCAAGCTTGACTCCAGAGAAGTGATTAAATATATATTATATATATTTTATATATATAAAACCTTCCTTCTTTGAAGACATGGGGGATTATGGGTGTGGAACATTGCATGTACCGTCAGACTACGGTACTCGTGTGTTGCTTAGTTTTCTTGAATTCTTTTTTTTCCTTTTTTTCTTTATTCTTTGTTACAAGGGATAGTTTATAGGAATATAATCAGAAGTGCAGCTAACATGTAAATATAAAAATAAAAGGTATCAGCTAACATTTTAAAAAAAAGTGATCTCTCCAAGGTTACCATGAGTTCTTTATTCTTAAATAACCTTTACTCTTCTTGATCTCTCCTCAGTCTTTCGCACTCTTGAACACTCCCTCTTTCTGGACACTAATTCCTCCCCGGGATTTTGTGACTTCTCTGTAGGGGTTTTCCTCTTACCCGTCTGACTAACGCCTCTTAGTCTCCTTTGTGAAAACATCACCCACATCTAAGCCCTGGTATGTATCCCAAGGCCCTTTTACCCGAGTCCTCTTCTCTTTTCTCTATATATTCTCCCTCCTTTTGGTGACCTCATCAGTTCCGATGGGTTCAGCTAATATCTTAGCCAATGACTCCTAAATCTACACATCAAGCTTGCCTCTCAGTTCTGAAGTCCGTTCTCAAATCTCCAACCATCTGTCGGATATCATCTCAAGCTCAATATATCCAAGATGATACCAATTTTCTTTCCCCCTAAATCCTCCTTTCCTCTAAAACTTCCTCATTTCTCTCAAGGGCACCACCAGTATTTTAGTAATCCAGGGTTACAACCTAGAGGTCACAATTCAATCCAGCAAGTGCCTGTCATGTGCTAGGCACAAAGCATACAGATACAAAAGTGAGAATGGTATTGCCCTCAAGGAGCTTACCTTCTACTAGGGAGGCACTTATTCATAGATGAGTAAACATAGGACATATATATAATATATATACACATATGCTGTAATATTCTATATATGTATATACATACATAGTCACATATCAGATTATTAGGGAGATATCTACACATGTGTATATATGTATATGTATATGTGCACATGTATATAGATATACACATTCGGTTATTAGAGAGAGGCCTTAACAACTCAGGGGAAGCAGGAAAGGCCTCTTGAAAGAATCCTTACTTGAAGGAAACTAAGAGATGGAGGGTGGTGATGAGAAAGGACATCCTAGGCAAGGAGAGAGAGCCCGGGCAAAAGCAATGAGGAAGGAGATGCAGCCAATTCGGACTCTTCCCTCTCGTCCTCTCCAGCCCCACTGCTACCCAGATCCAATTGGTTAACAAGCCTACCTTGATTTCTTTCTCCACAACACCAATTGCATCTATCCCCTTCACTCCATTCATGCCATATCCACACTAGTTCAGGCATTCATCACCTGTCCTATATGAAGACTATTGCAATAGATTCCCAACTGGTCTCTTCTACATCCAGTCTCTCCCCTCTCCAATCCATCCTCCACACAGCTGACAAATTGATATTCCTAAAACACAGGCCCAGCCAGGTCACTCCTCAGCTCAAGAAGTTTAAGTGGCTCCCCCATTGCCTTTCAGATAAAGTAGAAACCTTCTTTGCTGGGCATTTAAAGCTTTTTGTAAGCTGGCTCCAGCCTATGTTTTCTAGGCTAATTACACACTACTCCCCCAAATACACACTGCACTCCATCCAAACTGGTCTATTTCATGTCCCTCCTTCAGGACATTCCATCTTGCCCCTCCTTGCCTATGAACAGGCTGTTTCCCACGTTTGGAATGCTCATTTTCCTCACCCTCACCTCTTAGAATCCCTAACTCCCTTCAAAGGTTCAGCAGCTCCTACAAAAGGTCTTTCTTTCAGCTGTTAGTGCCTCTTCCCACAAAAAAAAAATTTTGTTTTTATTTTGTATGTAGCTTACGTTAACTTATCTGTAAACACATTGTTTCTCCCAGTAGAATATAAATTCCTTTTGCTTTTTTCTCTGTATCATTAGCATCTGGAACGGGTTCTGGCTCCTAGAAATCACTTAAAATGTTTGTTGAATTCTCTATCAAATAGAAGCAAGGGCCCAGCTGGGGTTATGTGCCATCAATTTGTAGTAGGTAAAATTAGCTTAATTTGACTACTGCCCCTCAGCCTAAAAGCAGCAGAGAAAATAGACAGTAGGGGTTACCCACTGATGAGGATTAACAGGTTCAAAACATCAAGGCACACTACGATAACAAATAGTGAAATATTAAAGGCAGCCCATGGTATGATCTGGGTCTAGAGGAAAGTGAAACCAGGGTGGTGAAAATAGAATGGGTGAACAGGGATGGGTCAGAAGTACTGGAGGTCATACGTAAAGAAAAATGTTGAGTAGTAGGAGAGGAGATTATTTACTCTCTGGTACTGATCTCTAGTCATCTCCTCAACCAAGGACACATCTTTGTGTCTACTCCAGGGCACTCTGCACAGGGTTGCCTATAGAATAGGGGTTCTTATTTATGACATGGACCCTTCTGGCAAACTGGTAGAACCTTTCTCAGAATCATGTTTTTAAATGTATAAAATAAGACATGGAAGAAACAAATTGTTCTGAAATAGTTATTAAAATATTTTTAAAACAAGCTTAAAGACCCCAAGTTAAGAATCTCTGCCACAGAGGGAGTCTCAATAAAGTTGTGACTAAGGTATTAGAGAACTGAGCTCTGAGGGGGGTGGGGACGTTGCAGGGATTTGGGAGCTGAGAAGAGAAGGAGTGGGGGATGAGGGAGATAATTAGGGGCCTGAGTAGGGGTGGAGCTCCTGAATCTTCTCAGTCTTCAACTTCTCATTGTTCTGTCTGGCTCCAACAGGTTCATCTCGTGAGTGACTGGAGGTTGGGGAGTCTCCCCTGTATGCTGTTGGTGGGCTAGGGGGTCAGTCTGTCTCAGATAGCAAGAGTCCAAGAGAACAGCAGCGAAGCCGCAGAGGTTTCTCCGGTGTCCTGGGGAGGCCTATTTAGAAAAGCTCTTCTGTGTACTCAGACATCTCTTGTCTCCCATATGAGAAAATACAAGAGGGCACAGCTCCTGAGACCCCCCAGACCGGCTGCCAGTATTAGTAACAATCAGGAGGCAGTGATGACCTTGGCACTCAAGTCTTCGCCCCACTAACCAATCCTCCCTGCCCCCTGACCCAATCAAGTCAGAGAACAGCACTGCAGGCAAGGGTCAGTACACGGAAGAGGCCAGAGGGGAGGGACTCAGAGCTGGACCCTGAGCCTAGGCCCCAGAAGGAAGGAGCTGGGAAAGAGGGGGTGGGGACCAAGCTGGGTGGGAATGGGGAGGCAGTAGGCCATGGCCCGGCCTGGGCACTGCTCCCAAAATAGCTCAGGGGTTTCCATTTTTAGTGTGGAGAGAACAGGGCAGCTCTGTGGGAGCGGGAACAACACTGCCTTTGTTTATCCGCCCCAGGCGGGTGGGGGGAAGGATGAAGGTGGAGGGGGGGAGAATGAGTGGCATGGAAGAGAGGATGTGGGGGTGAGAACTGAGAAGGGAGGATGGAGAGTAGGAGGGCTGGAAAAGGGTGAGTAGGGGCTGCCTGAAACCTTCCCTCTACCCCCATCCATCTCACTGTGGGAGAATATGGGAATTTCCTGCTTCCCATGCCATTGACTTGGGTCATTTTCAGAACCAGACTGGGGGAAAGGCAAAGAAGGGATGTCTTCTCTCCCAGGATCCCACAGGCTCCAGAAACTACTGCAAGACACCACTGGCCAGAGAGAATCTAGAGGTCTAAAGTTCCTAGTTTGAAAGGAAGGAAGTCTATGTCTGGATGCGCTGCTTGCTTCTGGCTTTATTTTAAGCCAAAGCACCAGATTCCAACAGCCTTCACTGCAATCTCGGAGGACAGCAGCCTTAGGAGAGAGATCTTGGCAAAGCGCCACCCCTACAGACTGCAGGGATATGCCTACAACACAGACCTGATAACAGACAAGCTCAGAAGGTACCTCAAAGCTCAAGTGCACCTCTCCCTAACAAAAGGCATGGATGGGGCTTTCCCCAAAGAATGTTACAGTTGGTTCTCTGACTAGTTAATGGGGCCAGAACCTGGGGAAGGGTATTAGATGAACCTAAGGTCATAGAATCCCCAGGGATGTGATTTGCACTGCCCCTGCAGCTCAGCTGCTCTTCTCCTCTCTCTAGCACCTTCTTCTCCCACCCTGTATTCTGCCATTCCGATCTCTCCCCCCACCTTCCCAGCAGGAAGCAGATGAGAACTCAAGAAGGCTGATCAAATAGATATCACAGGCATCTGGAGCAGATAGGGAGCGTGTTTGTCAGAGAGAGAGTGGAGGCAGATGCCCACATAAACCATAATAATATAACACAACAGAAGATAATCACCCTGCATCCAGAAATGTTATGAGGGTGCTGACTGCCATAGCTGCCCAGTTCAAGGAACAGGCAGGAGCTTCCTCAAAGAACTCATGTCCTGTGCCACAGTGAAAGGCCTGAACTATTACTTCTCTCACTCAGCGGCACTGGTGGGGAGAGGGGGCCAGAGGGCCAATGGAAAGGGAATAATTGGGAACCGAAAAGGGTTCCTGAGCAGGGCAGGTCCAAAGCTGCTCCCCATCATCTATGTTCCTCCCTCCTTTCCTCTACTGACCCTGGAGAGCCAATCAGTTCTCTTTTCCCCTCCCAAGGGATTCCCAGGAGCTGTCTGCATGGATAGAGTGACTCTAGGGGAAGGGGGCTGGAGAGGACAGACTGGTCCTGTTCTGTTCTCTATCATCAGCTTCCTCCCAGGACTTATGGCTTGCTTACCCTATAGACCTCTCCCCACTAAGGACAAAAACCAGAAACAGGCAAGAGTCTTGGAGACAGGGTGTTGGAGACAGAGAGGGAAAGACTAAAGGACAAGGAAAATAATATGGAGAGAATCAGGGAAGAATGAATGAGAATGAACAGGCATTTATTAAGTGCTTAGTGTGTGCCAAGCATAGTAACAGAGAAGACAGAGGGGAGTACAACACAGGGATGAAGGGAAGAGACAGAGAGAAAGTCGAAGATCAAGTGGAGGATCTGGGTGACTTCAGAAAGTTTTACTAATTAGTGACCATGAACTAGAGTCTGTTAATTTGACCTGTACACAAATTAGACTTGGGAGCAGTGCAAGTCCTTCAGTCTCCCCAAACTTTCTTCAAAGCCCCTATTGCCTCCTAATTGGCCTACCTACCCCTTGCACCCTAACATTCCAACTGGGCCCACTGGTATACCACTACTCCTCCCCAACGAACTAGCTAGGAAATCCCTTCTCCAACAATGTCAAAATTGGCACCAGATTATGTCACTCCAGGGCTCCCCACTTCTTCCAGGCCATCTCCCCATCTCATCCACCAGGGGGAGTACGATTTCTTCACCCACCAGTTAGGGAGATGCCCAAGAGCTACGGCCCCCAGATAACACCCCTCCCTCCCCTGGGAGCCCAGGCTTAGCCCTCCTCCTCTCCATTCCAAGGAGACAAGACGTGAAAGGCTGAGATAGGGGTGCAGAGAGGTTTCTCTTAGCAAGGGAACTCCACTCCCCTTCTTCAGAGGCCCAGACCCTGAGTTGGTCCCTGTCCCTCCAGCCCCTCCCTCCCCCAGCCTGTACCCAAGGTGGTGCCCTACACCTGACTGGCTCCCTGGGTGCCACAATCAAGAGAAACCAGCTTTCACTGGAATGGCCAGGGAAACTGCTTCCTCCCCTTGTCTCTGAGCTGACCAGTTACTCATTAACAGCAGAATGTGAGCGGGTTACACTCTGGTCGGAGCATTTAGAGGCTTGGAGAGAGAGAGGTCTCAATTCAGATTATGTCTAGGGGGGAAGGGTAGGATCCTAACCCAGGATATGTGTTTTGGTGGTATAGGTGACACAATCCAGTTTGTTGACTGAAGAGTGTCACTCTCCAGGGTGTGTATACTGAAGGGAGAAGGGGGAGTTGAGGAGGGTGGTCACATTAAGGATGTCCATATTAGAGGAGTGTCAAAATCAAATCTACTGTATGAGTACTGAAGGAGGAGTCACAATCTAGGGTATGTTCTGCAGGAGGGAAGAGGGTCACAACTAAGGTGTGGGGGGGAGGTATCACAATCCTGAGAGCGTTTGAATTTAGTGGGATCGAAAAGGTAGAGTTACGATCCAGTCTCCCACTCCTCCTCGGACCTAGGCAGGGTGCTCAACCCCGAACCTCCTCTCCCGCATATTCCACACTCCTAGGTGTGGTATACCTCCACTGTTCCTCAGTAGAGGCATACCACTCCCAGAGACCAAGGGGTAAAGACCCTATCTGGTCCTAGCGGGGAGGGAAAGGCTGTTGGCTGGTGAGGATGGAGGTGGGGGAGAGGAGGGGCTGCCCGGGGGCGGAGGGAGGGGGCACTCAGCTCCAGTTCAGGGGGAGTCGATCCCGCCTCCCGCCTCTCCCAATCAAAACTACCCTGAAGTTTTCTTCCACCGGAGAAGTTCGGTGCAAAATTCCCCCGATAAAATAGCACCCTGCCCAACCGCCAGTCCTCAGATCAAGAGCTCTCCCCTTCCAGGTGGGAGATCCACACAACAGAAAGCCCAAAGCGGCCCAAGTAGTCTGTTCCCCAAGCTATCTTTAGGGATACCGGCTCCCCACCTCAGGAGACTCGGGGACTCTTGCCGGGGTGTTTCGATTCCCCGCCTCCCCGCAAGACGCATGGACTCACCACTCGAGCCCCAACTGCCGAAAGAGAGAGACAGAGAGGGAGGGAGGCACTCACACCGTTGCACTGCACACCGTTGCACTGCGCTCGAATCCTCTGCTGCGCGGGACTGAGCCGAGCTCCGCCGAGCCGAGTGGCGCTGCGCGGCGCGGCGCTGAGCTGGGCTGAGCCGAGCCCCAGAGCAGCGCGGGCCTCCCCTACCCCCGCCCCCGGAGGTGGATCCGGCGAAGCCACAGCTGTTACCCGGAGACCAAGGGGCGGAAAACTGCGCCCGCCCATCCCCCACGGCCCGGCGCATTCACCTCCAGGAACAATGGAGACAAAGCCGCGTCCTCCCCCGGGCTCTGCGCCTTCCTTTCCTCCCTCCCTCCAGACCCCGGCTGCCCAGGAACAGAGACACCCTCACCCCCACCCCCACCCCCAAGTCCCTTCCCCAGCCAGTCACCAGGCCGAAAAGTGCTGCAGAATAAAGCAGGATGGGCAGTAAAAAGAGGCACCGCGTTTTCTCCGCCAGAACCTCACCTGCTTGTCCTTTGCCTTCCCACTTCTACCTTTCCTTCCTCTCTCCACTTTCTCCACCAAACTAGGAAGGAAGGAAAGAGAGAGAGAGAGAGAGAGAGAGAGAGAGAGAGGAGAGAAGAGAGAGAGAGAGAGAGAGAGAAGGAAGGATGGATGGAAGGAAGAAAGAAAGATAAGCATCCCTAGGGATTGCTCCCATTCTCTTGGGGGGCTACTCACACGTGGATATATTAGTAAATACTAAGTAAGCTTGACTAGGGAGTTGGAAGTGAACGTAACACCCAAACTCTTGATTTAAAAAAAAGCTTAGGGTTCTATGAGGTGGAGGTTAAGGAAGGATTACATTCCAGAAATTGGGGGGTGGACAGCCAGTGCAAACAGAGCAGAGTGGTCAAGTGAAAAGGGAGGCTGTTCGTGGGATCGGAAGACGGAAGTTCAAAGCCCGGTTCTACTGTGTGACCTTGGACAAATCATTTAACATCTCTCTGCATGAACCAGACATCGAAAGACCCTTCCTGAGTCTAAATGCATGAGAAAAGAGATAGCAGACTCAGTTCCTGGAACAGCAAGAAAGCCAATTTTACTCATATGGAAGGGAGCAAGGTGTAATATCTGAAAAAGTAGGTGGAAGCCAAGTTAGTGAATGGCTTTAAATGCCAGGCTGAAGAGTGTGCATTTTATCCAAAAGGAAATAGAAAAGCATTGAAGATTTTTGAATGGTGGATTGACATGGTCCGACCTGGGGCTGCCCTTCCTTCTCTACCATTTCTCCCAACCACTGCCTTTCCTCTCTTCCACCCTCACCCCCAACTTCCTCCTCCCCCATGAAGCTTCCCTCCCTCTCTTCTCTTACAATTAAACATTAAGCCCTGGGAAAGCATTGGACTGACTAGGCTCTGGAAGAAAGAACAATTAGTTTAAATAAGTCACAGTCCATGTGCTCATAGCTCACTATATAATGGGGGATATGACACAAAGTCACACAGAGCCAAATAACATAAGAATCCATAACAGAGTGCACATAGGAATATGTGAAATCTGTGATCGCTACCAATTGGGTTATGATAGGGAGTCAGGGAAGCCTTCCTGCAAGTGTGACATCTGAGTTGGAGAACAACATTGTCCAATTCAACTGGAGCTCAGAGAACAGAAAAGGGGAGAATTAGTGTGAAATGAAAAGGTGAGAGTGGTACCAGATGTGAAAGCCCTGAATGTCGAACCAAGAGCAATAAGAAGTAAACAAAAATTTCTGAGCAAGAAGTGATAGGACAAGATTTATTTATTAGAAAAATTAATCTGGCAATGGTATCAGGGTTGGGCTGGAGGGGGAAAGACCTGTTAGGCTATTGAAATAGCTTGGAGGTGGGGGAATGTAATGAGATTTGTGCTGTGGGGGAGTCATTTGGGACAGAAGGGTATAGATGTGAGAGATGTTACTGAAGTGGAATCAACACAACTAGACAAGGATTTGGATATGGTAACAGTCCAAAATAACCTTGGATACCAGATGAATATGTGTAGTCCCAGCCACAGAAATAGTAGAGTCAGAAAGAGGTTTAAAGGTTTAAGACAGTAAGTGAAACCTCCAAATTGCAGGTGTTATATGCCCCATAGGCAGTTGGAGATGCAGGTCTGGAGCTCAGAAGAATCAGGGCTAGAAATTTGAGAGCCAATCATAGAATCATTCATTGCAACCATAAGAGTGAATGAGAATGCCAAGTGACTGCATGTAGAGAGGAGAGAAGAGAACCAAGAATAAATCCTGGTGCTGGACTCACTTTAAGAGAGTGGGAAATGGATGGAGAGATTGGTGAAGAAACAATTAGGTTAATGAGTCCCTTTCTCCATTTAGGTCTTTTCCAGCCATAAAACCACAATCCTTTGATTCCCATTTTCTTACCATCCCCACCAAAGGGTTCTTGTCAACATCTGGAATTTTCTGAAGTCTGTGAAGTCTTCCTTTTAGGGTTGGGGGGGCAAAAGATGGCTCAATAAGAGGAAGTAGTTTGGGGAGGGGACAGGGAAAGATCATAAGATAATAGAATTAGTGCTGGAAGAGACTTAAGTAATCTAGTTCTCAGGTGAGGAAACTGAGCCCTAGAGACATTATTTTCCCAAGGTACACAGGGGATGATGATAAGTAGCAGAGCTAGCATTTGAAAACAGGTCCTCTGACTTCAAATCCAAGATCTTTCCACTAACTCATGCATGAATGGGGGCGGGGAGGGGAATGATGAACGGGATAGTTGAGGTAGGGGGAGTAAAGGGAGAAGTGGAAAGAGCA